TTTTCTTTTTCTAGGTCAGGGCGTTTTCTGTTGTATCGTTCTTAGGTGCTCCTTTTTAAGCAGCCCCTTCTGAGAGGGTTATCTCAGGTTGCCTACCTTCCTGGGTAGTGTAGAGTCGCTGCGTTTTTTCTACCCTAGTAGTGTTATATACTTCTCTCTCTTAAGTTGTATATAACTGTTGTGGTTTTCTGCTGCTTTTCTTACTGCAATAGTCTCTTGATATATGGCCTGGCTTACCACAGTTGAAACAGAGTCTGTTGTCTTTCTGATGCTTCTGTTCTTTGTCTGGGAGTCTTGCTATATTAAGCTCTATAGGTTATAGACCGTACAGATCGCTGTTCTGATTAGGTTATTACTGTTGTTGTTAAGGTTAGAAGCATTGGTGAGGCGGGTGTCTGTTGCCCTGTCTCTATCCTTCTACCTCTTATTTCTGTATTTATCGGTTATAAAACCGGTTGTTGATTCAAACCGCAAAATCAATAAGTATGTCTATTGTCTCTGGTCTATCTATCTGTGCTAGCTTATCCTTAATGTGTAACTTAAGCCCTTTGTTATAGTATAGGATTAATATATAGTCATCCTACCTAAGGATAGCTACTTACTGTATAAATTCTACGGTATATACAGAAGCTAAGGTTGTCTATCAAAGCCTCTTAAGCTTTCGTTCAGTAGTTTTTTTGGCGTTAATATTGCTGAATATCTTCTCTAAGTATTCCCTGAACTTAAGGTAGCTTAAGAAGATGTTGTATACGGTAGTTAACCATTCTAATTTATCCTTTTTGTAGTATTCTTAGACGTATGGCTTAAGCTAATCCTATGCTTGTCCTCGGAGGTAGGTTAATACAAAGATAACTTTGCTAGCTTTAGTGTTTAGCCTATATTTATTAATATTAAGGTATATGTTTATTTATGTGAGGAATCCTTATAACTTAGATTAAGTTCTGTCAAAGTTCTCTGCCTTTGGCAGCTTTAGTGCTATAGGTAATAGTGCGCCAAGCTGTGCGTCAGTCTGTTGAATAGACTTATGTAGCTCGTTTATGTTATAATTATATCCTTGACTAAATGTGTTAAGTTGACTAATAAGGAGGTAGACTTATCTTTCCAGCTCTTTGACTCTTTTTTTGTCTTTATTATCTGATTCTGGATCTGGTTGACGTGTTTATGTTTTTGGAGGTAAAGGCTCTGCTGCCTTGCCTTTGTTACTACTGCTGTATAATAATATAGTAACTAAACTTTACAGTTTTGTGTTGACAGGGCGATTAATATGTTATACGTTGCTAACTGGTCACGGTAAGTGGTTAGATCTTTGGTAAATAACTTACCAGTTGTTCTCTGTATTGTTGGTCGTATATAATATCTATTACTTGTAATCCTTAAGTACTAACTTATAATTATACTGTTGCTGTACTAAGCCTTATACAGACTCGGATCCTGTTGAGTAACTTCGAAGGATATACCAGGTAGAGCGCTAAGTAGGTTAGTCTGAAGAGCTCCCCTACTTATAGTATATTTGTTATAAGAGATAAAACTGAATAAAGAATAACCTAAAAGGTATACTGTAGTAACTTAGATTGATTGATTGCGAAAGACTAAATATATATGTGTAAAGAGTATCCTATATATCCTAGTCCTTCTAGATAGTATTTGTGGTAGATGGTAGGGTGGTAGATAGTACTTGGCATGATCTATCTGTTGATCGAAATACCTATCTACTATTTTATGGTTATATACAAGTTTATAGGTCCTTATATTCTAGGCGTAATTCCGGAACGTATGAAAGCGTGGCCGTTTCCTGTACCAGGTTGGTTATGTGGGTCCTTTACTAGGTACTTGTACTTATGGTGTAGTGTTGGTAACGGTAGAAAGAACGCCCGTTCTTGCGTTGCGCTAGCCGTCTCGTGGTTTAGTGCAGTATTGTTTGATACGGCGAATCAGAGGCTGATTCCTGCCGTCGTTCACGTGATCTGGTTCTGCGTTCCTTTCCTAGGAACGGTTGGCTCTCGGTGGCCCATCTGTAGGTTGTGGCCCCTGCGGCCCCTCATGTCGCATGGTCCGTAACAGCTATAAGTAGAGACGTAGGAAAGGGAAATAATTATCTTAGCTGTAGGGTATTATATGATCGCCAGACCCTCACATCTTAGATCTGTAATCAACTACCCAGTTCCCGCTCAATTATTTGTCTTTATTATTCTTAATTAAAGAACCACATTCAGAGGTTAAGAATTCATCTCTAACATCTATTTCATAATCTTTGCTAAGGAAGTGTCTGTTTTGAGACGGTCCTTAAACCAGATCACAAAGATTCAAAATAGCGTAACTAAATATCTCAAATTACTAGGGAAGCGTCGCCGACATTTTCACAGGCTGAGAAAATTAAAATAAGGGTATATAGAGGGCTAATTTCCTCACAAACTATACAAGGGTTCTCCGCCTATAGGTATTTACTCTATAGGGGTCCAGAACCTTATAATAGCTTTCCCACTAAGCACAATAGAACGACAGGGGCAGTTACCTATTAAACTTTGAATTACTGCAGTATAAAATCTAGGACATAATTATTTGACACAACCAATAAGCCCTTATTGGTACCCTCAGCTAGATCAAACAGGATCCATCATAGTCTTGGTACGATCTAATCATCGAGACTGATATACAGGGTGACATCCAGATAAATACAACGTTAAATATTAGAAATGTGTAGAAATAGAACCTAAAGTCTAAATAATCAGCCATACCAAATGCTAACATTTAACAGTGGGTAGATCTGTCTAACAAGATTCAAGGACTACTAAGTTCTCGGAAAGTAGATATACGTCGATCAATATTCCAGGGTAGATTATACTAAAGACATGCTTCGTAAAATTATGCCGTATATTCAGTATTCATCGCTGGTGGCCCTTACTAAGACTAGTCTACTATCAGTGGCTTACTAGAAGACTGATTCAGTGACTGGATAGAAATAGACACACAATTAAGTCACAGCCCTAGACCACTGTCTAGCTCTCTTTACATAATAAGGTAAATACAGTATCGCCAGAATCACTGTCCATATTTACAAAAATAACTCACCACTCACTGTTTTCAGCGTATAGTTTCTAGGAGCCTGACAAAAGCAAAGGTTTAATATCCGGGCTCTGTCTTCGGCTCGAACCATAGTTCCCGGAGCCTTGCTCATCCCAAGCTTTATCCTACAGTATTTTAACCGCATAGATCTTAGCATACGGGGGTTGTTAAAAAAGTGCAGAGGAAAGCATTTTTTTTTCAGAATAGTATAAGGGATGCTAGGACTTAAGAAATACTGTATTTGATATCTAGAGAATATCTAAGACTATTCGCTAATAAAAACCAGCTCTTATAGACTAATAGAAAAAGACCCTCGCTTATAGATAATCAATAAATATATAAAACGTATAATTCAAACTTACGGAGATTATTTCAGGCCCTAAATCTCAGAAGTAATAAAAGAATTCTATACTTGCTCTTATTCTGTCTCCTATTATTTACTTTAGCCAATTAACTCAATATAAAATTATGATCCCCAAAGTGCCATTACAGCCTGTTATGTCTACCGTAGATAGCTTTTCTTATGTATATAATCTTTTATATACTAGATACTACTCAATACACATAACTTTACTCTAGAATCTTATATAGTAGTATATCTAAAACCAAATAGGCCTTCTATGGCTGTTTAAAAGAAGACTTATCTCTAAGAAAAGAGTACTCTTCTGATTAAGATCGTCCTGAAAACAATAACAAGATTAGACAGAGTATACAGACGACTGCTATTATACTATTAAAATTCTCCTTATAAAGCTATAAAACCCCTAAATTTAAAACTATTTAAGTTTATTCAGGTAGGAGATATAGAAGACCCCTAGTTCTTATAAAAATCGTATAATTCTAGTACCAGAAGAGGACTATATTATATCAGGCCGTATAATTTTAAGAAGCTAAGGAAGGATCTATACGATCAACAATAGATAGGCAGGGATTAGCTATTATTATTAGCTTTTATTACCTGAGTTATCCTAAGAAAAGTATCCTTCTGACAGAGAATACTCTGGATATAGTCTAAAGTATAGAAGTAAAAGAAAACAAAAAGAAAAAGTAGAAATAATAAGTAGATCAGACCAAAACTATCCAAAATTATATGCTTCCTTCCCTTTAAGAAACTACCTTAATATCTAAAAATATAAACTAATACCCCTATCCTCTGTCTGCTCTTACCTAGTATAGAGTAAATCTTATCAACTCTGCTAATATAAATAAGTAATAACTATCAGGGCCTCCTTAATAGACTAGATATATAAGGGTATCTCTAGATATTAAGAGAATATAAACAGATATATTGAGAAAGGATTGAATAAGCCTAAATAGAAGCTACTGCCGCTGCTGCTAGAGAAGCTATATAATCTGTTCTAGTTGCTACCCTTTCTATTATACTAGCTAGCGTTCTAACTTCTGTTTAATCAGAAATAGATAATTAAGTTTAAGTATACTAAGAGATAAAGAAAGCCTTACTAAAATAAGTTAAGGGAATCTAGGACTATTATAGAACGGTTCAGTATAATACTGTCTAGAAGTTCCTTCTTAATTATAAACGCTTTTTTACAGAAATAGCCTATTTTATTAGTATTAAACTTAATAATAATAATAAGGTTATATATATATATAGATAGACCTTGCCAAAGCCCGGGCCGGGTCTCAGTTTTGGGCCCGAGCCCACGGGCCGCTAAGGAAGCCCGTAGCCCGTGACTAGCGGCCCGAGCCTATGGGCCTACAGCCCGCAGGCCAGGCCGCGGGCCGCTAAAAAAGCCCCGCAGGCCTGTGACCTGCCTATTTAGGAAGGTATCCTAAGCATAACTTAGCACAAATATAAAAGTTTTAATGTATTTCTTAGCGTAGTATCATCATTGTATTACTATAGGCAGTAGGTACCTTAGGATTCAGCTGAAAGATAAGCTTACGATCGCGATGGCCAGTTTGTTACGATCGCCATGGCCAAATTGGTGCAATCCCCATCGCCAATTTGTTACGATCGCTATGGCCAGTTTGTTACGATCGCCATGGCCAAATTGGTGCAATCCCCATCGCCAATTTGTTACGATCGCCATGGCCAATTCGTTGCAATCACCATGGCCAAATTGTTGCAATCGCCATGGCCAAATTGGTGCAATCCCCATCGCCAATTTGTTACGATCGCTATGGCCAATTTGTTACGATCGCCATGGCCAATTTGTTGCAATCGCCATGGCCAAATTGGTGCAATCCCCATCGCCAATTTGTTACGATCGCCATGGCCAATTCGTTGCAATCACCATGGCCAAATTGTTGCAATCGCCATGGCCAAATTGGTGCAATCCCCATCGCCAATTTGTTACGATCGCTATGGCCAATTTGTTACGATCGCTATGGCCAATTTGTTACGATCGCCATGGCCAATTTGTTGCAATCGCCATAGCCAAATTGGTGCAATCCCCATCGCCAATTTGTTACGATCGCCATGGCCAATTTGTTACGATCGCCATGGCCAATTCGTTGCAATCGCCATGGCTAATTCGTTGCAATTCCCATGGCCAATTTGTTACGATCGCCATAGCTAACCCGTGCTTAGTACTAGTATTGTCAGATTTTAGGTATTTTATGCTTAGTGAGCACTATCTATTAGTTATTATCTATCTAGTATTGTCAATTCTGGTAATATTACCTACGCATGTATAGTACGTATGCTTAGTACGTATGCCTAGTACGTGTGCCTAGTACGTGTGCCTAGAATATAATGATAATAATTTATAAATATTTTACCGACGCGTTTTATATACTAAATATTAATATTTTGTTTAAAATTTTATTTATATAATAGTAAGAATATATATTATATATATTATAAGTTTGAAGTACTTAGGACCGGTAGAAATTAAAATATTTTAGTTTTAGTTATTTGATGATTATGAACATGAAGATATATATTTGACACAGAGGGTAGCACTACTACTATTCTTCTCAGAATTCTAAGAGCTTCGGCTATAGGCCTAAGCGGGGCATAGGCCCTAGGGGCCCACTTCTGAACCAATTAAATTATAGTACTAATTATATTATTACAATATTATTGGTTAAATAAAGCCACTATGTAATAATGCACTATAATGCATGACACCAAGGCTATATAGGCAATGGTTACCGAATACCCCTTTTTTGCCTGCAAAATAATAATCAACGGCCAGCGATAGCTATAGGGATTGCACCAATTTGGCCATAGCGATTGTAACAAATTGGCGATAGGGATTGCACCAATTTGGCTATAGCGATTGCAACAAATTGGCCATGGCGATCGTAACAAATTGGCCATGGGGATTGCACTAATTTGGCCATAGCGATCGTAACAAATTAGCCATAGGGATTACAACAAATTGGCCATGGCGATCGTAACAAACTGGCCATGGGGATTGCAACGAATTAGCCATAGCGATCGTAACAAATTGGCCATGGCGATTGCAACAAATTGGCCATGGCGATTGTAACAAATTGGCCATGGCGATTGTAACAAATTGGCCATGGGGATTGCAACAAATTGGCCATAGGGATTATAAGCTTAGTATTATACGTAGCTATACACTCAAAATTACTAAAAATACAATATATTTTATGTATTCTTGTGTTTCTCTTGTTTGAAGGCCCGTGGGCCGGGCCGGCCTGCCTGCGGGCCTTAAGTTTAGGCCCGAGCCCACGGGCCGGGCTTTCTTAGCGGCCCGTGGGCCTACTTTTAGGCCCGCGGCCCGGCCTGCGGGCTGTACGGGCCGCTAAATTAGCGGCCCGGATAGGCCCGGGCCCAAAAGCCCACGGGCTTTGGCAAGGTCTATATATAGAGCCCTGGTAAAAAGAATAAATAAATAATAAGAGATATACTACCGTTAATATATATTATTGTTCTAAGATAAAATCAGAATATAGTCCTAGTTTAAAGTATAGATCCTATAAGTATTTAGTAAATACCTTAGAAAGATACAGAAATAGGAACGCTTTATAACTATATATCAGGGAGATTATTAGTTATTATAAGACTGTACGTCTTACTAGGCTCAGGGAAGTAATGGTAGATCAGATTAGGCATCGCCATAACCCAACCCAAAACCCAATGGGTTAAACCCAATAACCCAGTGGGTTCCCATTTCAACCCATTTTGGCATAATTTATTCATAAATTTTATGTAGTGTATTTTAATACTTGATTTATATCTTTTTTTCTAGAAGGATTTAGATACTAAGATTTTATATAGATATATATATAGTATTAATCATTGTATATTTAAAGTTTAGGACTAAAATATACAGTAATGAAAGAGTTATTAGAAAAATAAGACTTTTTGCAAAGATATATATGTAATGGTTACTAAGTTGTCAGGCTAGAGACCTGTGACTAGGCAAGGATATCGGACGGTAGAGATCAGATTGGGCAGTCGATACAGAGACTGATTCTTGAGAGGATCAAGAATCCTGAATACTTGTGGGATCTTAAATACATTAGGGCTCGGGTGGATATCGATATGCAGGTGACTCAAAGGGGATTCGTCCATGAATCGGCCTCGAGAGTCCGGGGTATCGTATACTTCGAATCCCGTGACAATATATATTACCTTGTAGGGTATACCACTATCTTTACTATAGAGCTCTGTAATTTATTTTATTTTTAAATACACTACTTTTTAGCCTTTTAATATATAATATATATATATTAGATATAGAATAATAATAATATTAAATAAAAACTTAAAATACATATATATAAGGCCTAAAAACAGCACTAATACATACTGTATTTAAAAGCTTGGTATGTTTGCCTTGTTTACACTAAAATAGGAACCCACTGGGTTTCCAATTGGGTTTTGGGTTATGGTATTCGACCCAAAACCCATTTTGGGTTGGGTTGGGTTGGGTTGGGTCCGGGTTATAGTGGGTTCTGGCGATGCCTAGATCAGATGATCCAATAAGAAGCTGTTGGTTGGTACTAGATAGGATGATTGATGTATTGCATGGATGTGTATGTTATTAGGATTGCAGGAGATTGAGATGCTATTTATCCCTGAGGTTTAGCAGGCCTCAGGCCACCATTATTAGTAATTATAATGGTCACACGACAATAAGTCGTCGTAATGTATTAATCATGATTGGCATCGAATGGTAATTGATTATATAGGTTGCCATAGTTAGCACCATAGTCAATTCTGTAGGTGGCAGATGGCCAGAGTTGCCACAGCATCCAGATAGTTTGCCACTATCGATCAGGTTCCATGAGGTTCCATGATCTATAGGCTATTGCTATATATTCAGAAATACTTATATTTGTCTTTTCCTACTATACGAAGAGATTTTTTATACTCTCTAGTTTATAAATCCCTAATGGTTGAACTTAAATATGTATGGTTGTTGAGATATTAAGTTGTAATTTATCTTATTCATTATGGTGTTTTGGGGTGGCCAGGTCGGCCAGGAATTGTGTTATATAAAGTAATTTTAGTCAGCAGACAAAACGTTTCTAGACCTCTTTTATACTATTTTCTACCTCTATAGACCCTGCTTATATAATCAGAGCCTTCTAGACCCCTACTTACTAACCTTACCTATATAGTAGTATAAACCAGATTTAGTTAGCTTCAGTAGTTAGCCAATAAACAGCAACCCTACTCTCTATCCAAAAACCCTAGAATATCTTATAGCTAAGGCAGAAACCCTAGGCTTAGAAAGCTGGCTAAAAAGAATAGACTACCCGTCGGTCCTAGTCTTGGCATACCCCATCAAAAAAATCACCCACCAAAATCAGACCCCTTAGGGTTTTACCCTTCCCACTAGAAATTATTCTATTAAACCTGATAGAAGGATAGTTTAGATAATTCTAATCAAACTTCTAAAGGCCCGATCGAAAAACCTCAAAATCTGAGGTACTTAGTGGGGGGGGGGGGGGCAAGAATTTTATGCCCCCCCCTCGCCCAGACTTTTTTAACTATGAGACCCCCCCCCCCGGGGGCAGGGCCGGAATACATTTAGGGCTATCAAAAGTTGTTGAGAGGCCGGGGAATTCCATGTACACATCTGTTCAGTTAAGTTAGGGCCATACTTCCATTGCATTGCACATATTGAGATGGGTCGTAGGGATTTTTATTGAGATGGCTCAATATAGTTGCTCGAAATTGGAATGTGGTACGACTTGTTTTGATGCAAGTCGCTACTAGTCGATGCAAGGGGTTGTGATACGTGGTAATGTACCCCATATACACCTGGGCAATAATTCTTGCCAGTAGACCGCGCGAAAGATCGGCCTCCTTTTTATTAAAATATTTTGCTCCGTATTCAAGACTATCCCTGAGGCTTAGGTACTCTCCGAGACACTCCCGTCAACCCCTCATTATGAAGTCCGAACTTGCTCGAGATGCCCTCCGGACTCGATGGATTATTCGTTTCAGTCTAATTACCACACCGTTGACTGCAGCATTTGGAATCCTAAGTGGTGTAGCCTTGAGAACCGAGACAGCGCTAATGGTGCTCGTTCTGCATGTCGTGGGAGGATTGGCCATCACTACTGGTAGGTGGAATGATCTCCTGAAGGAAAATGGCGGTGTTAGATGTTGATGGATCCAGGCTACCATCGCCTCTGGGCGCACCGATCCTACCGCGCCAGCCCTCTCCTTGGATATGCTCTTGCTCTCCTCGGCACTGGCCAGGGCCAGTTGAGTATCCGGTGGTGGGTAAAACACCATCGCGCACATCACCGATATGTCGACACTGACCGAGATCCCTACGACGCCCGCCGAGGATTCTATCACACCCATATTGGATGGCTTCTCAGCTATGATCCAAGCTCTTGGGGGAGGGTAGACGTCTCAGACCTCGACTCGGATCCCATCGTGCTATGGCAGGAGCGATACTTCTGGTACATCACTGCGTGTATGATGGTTGTATTCCCTACGGCTGTTGCTCACTTTGGCTGGAATGATTTCAAAGGTGGCTTCGTTTATGGAGCAGGTGCACGCCTCTGGATCAGTTTTAATAGTACTTGGTTCGTCAACTCGATCGCGCACGCCTCCTGGGCTGGAAGTCAACCGTACTCAAGCCACACTTCCGCCCGAAACGTACCGCTTCTAGCGCTCTTTACTGGCGGGGAAAGCAATCACAACTTTCACCACACGTTTCCCATGGATTATCGCAATGGGCTGTACTGGTATGAGTCGGATATTTCGAGGTATTTAATTGAGTTGTGGAGTATTTTCGGTCTAGCTTCGAACCTAAAGGCAGTCAGTCCAACGGAAATTGAGCGTGCTCGACGAGGCCAGAAGCAGAAGCAGCAGCAGCAGCAGCCAGATACCCTGGAGGAATCAGACTTTTCAGACTTACCTAGTATGAGCTGGGCAGAATTCGTGCTGCAAACGAACTCCGGCTACTGTCTCGTCTGTATCAGAGGAGTGGTTTATGATTTGGCAGATTTTATTAGTGACCACCCTGGTGGTCCTGCTCTGATCCAAGACTTCATTGGCAAAGACGCAACAGAGGCTTTCTTTACTGATAACGCCCATTCTGCGTATGCAAGTTCTCTCCTCAAGGCCAGGCGGACTGCTCTTGTCACTCCAAGTGAAAATTCAGGTAGATGAACTTCAAGATAGACACTAGAACTCCGAATTTGTACGTTGGTGACTACATGAACCCTCAAAACCTTGAAGATAATTCCTACCTCGTATGATCCCGGTATAGCACAATTGGATAAACGCCTGAAACCACTGAACGAATCTCATGACAATCAATCGACCGTCTGATTATATTGGGCATTTTCACTGGCAATGCTAATCACTAGTAGGTGGCTGGGCCGTTTGAAGAATACGTCAGGTCAATTCCGGTACTTGATGGCTAAACTTCGATTCTTGTGCCCATGTCAACATCTTCATCCCTTAGCTACCCCTGTCATTTCTCGTGGATTATCTCTTCGATCATCTCGCATAGTATGTCACGAGCCAGTCAAAGATTTTGAGGTATATTTGATGCCCAGGGCATCTATTGCAAGAGAGACGACGCCGTTCACAGTCCCTGCCGTGGCAATATCAACAAGACCTATCTCGACGCCGAGATTACGTTTTAGCCATGCACGAGCCTCTACAGCGACCAGCGAGTCCACAGAAATATTAGCCATGGCGGTTAGGTCTTCACTTTTGACCGCTGGCGTATATGGCCCCATTAGGAGCGCCATCTCCTTGATAAGAAGATCAAAAGTTGGGCCAAAATTTAGCACATCTTGATTCGCTTCAACAGCGCGCAGAATCGCTTGAACGTCACTCCCTTCTGGCAATCGGGATTCCGAATGCGAGAGTCCCATAGTCGGATCATAGCGGAAGCGAGCATCCCTATAGGGTGAGTTATTTGAAATCTGGGCCCCTGACAGGCCCAGACCGAGCGAAAGATGACTCTGGTTAAGGAAGGTAGATGGAGCACCGTCAACCGTGCGGGGAGGAAACAAGAGTAACTGCAGAGCAGTCAGCAGATGTACTTCTTGCAATGGAATATAGCCCTTGGACTGCATCATTCGCGTGAGCTCCGGATGTTGGCTGACATAGCCAATGTCGGTTATCCAACCAACATCAAGGACTGATGCTGGTAGGCCCAAAGACTGGCGATAGTGCGCGAAAGCATCAAGAAAGGTATTGGCCGCCGTGTAGTTAGCTTGTCCAGCAGAGCCGGCCGCTGCTGCCACCGAGCTAAACATGACAAAGAAGTCGAGGTTGTTGGACTGCAAGGCATCGTGCAAGTTCAAGGCTCCCTCCACCTTTGGACGGAGTGCCTCTGTCCACTGGCCATGAGTCATGCTAAAGAAAGGGGTATCCTGTGTTTCACTGAATGAGCTTCTGCCATTCCAATGCGTGGAGTTTCGGGGTTTAAATTTACCTGCATGGCCATTGCCATGTGCAGAACCCCCTTTATAGGTCTGCAGCTGGCAGTAACTGCTCTTTTTGCATCAGCCAAGCTCGTGACATCACCCTGGACCAAGAGGCCATGACATCCCTGCAGAATCAGATCATTGAGAAACTCGCCATCCCTCGCTGTGGTCCCTGCACTGCGCGAAAGAAACACTAGGTATTTGGCTCCATGCTCAACCATCCATTGTGCCACTGCACGGCCCAGGCCTCCTAGACCACCGACCAGAAGATAAGCCCCATCGCCATTGAACGACATTTTAGTTCTGGCTTTGGATGTTGGGATGTGTGCTACCTCCTCCGGGACCTGGACAACGATCTTGCCCATATGCTTCCCTTCCTGCATATGCTTGAAGGCCTGGGCAATATGATCGGCTGCAAAGGTACGTATGGGCTGGATGGGAGTGATGGACTTGCGGGCTAGGAGGCAGGTAGCTTGATTCAAACAACTGTTTACTCATAATGTTAGTGTGGGCTGCTGCTTTTTCCCAAGCTCCAGATTGAAGACTCACTCTTGCACGATTTTAGGGCGTGAATTTGCGAGGGTGAGAATGTCTACTCCCACGAAGGACCTGTTGGCGAGAAATCGATCCATGGGCAACATTGCATGTCCCATCAGGTCGCGTTTTCCAATCTCCACCATGATGCCACCCTCTGCTACGCAATCCCATGATGCCAAAAGCAGGTCTCCGGCCAGGGAATTGAGCACGAGATCCACCCCTCGGCCTCGGGTTCTTCTGAGCAGACTTGGAGAGAAGGATGCACTCCGAGAATCAAAGATGTGCTCTTTTCGGATGCCGAAAGCTTCGGTCAGATACTGTGCCTTGTCTTGGTTGCCGACGGTGGCGAAGATCTTCCACTGTCAGAATGCACAGGGATATTCCGAGGGGCCAAACTCACCTCTACGCCAACAATTTGGCATATTTTAATTGACGCAATTCCCACTCCGCCCGCCGCAGAGTGAATTAAGACCGACTTCAAGTTTTATCATTAGCATATTTCAGTACTTGGGGTCGACGTATCTTACCTGTCCTTTTTCCAGTCGTCCAACGTTTAACAGACAATGAACAGCCGTGGTGTATGCGCACCCGACGGTGGCTGCCTCCTCCAACGAGATTTCAGTGGGTATCGCAACAACAAGAGACGCTGAGACCATGATCCGAGTGCTGAATGCCGGCGTGGCAAGGAAAATCACCTTATCTCCAGTATGTAGATGAGTGACTCCGCTTCCTACACGCCGGATAATCCCACTGCCTTCAAGCCCCAGTTCATCCTTCGCCTGTAACATGCCCAGACCAACCATCAAGTCCTATGCTTATGGTCAGTTCCTACTTCAACCGAGAAAAGGGAATAAATGATTTACCCTGAAATTCATGCCAACGAATTTGATGTCGATCTCAACATCTTGCTCTCCGAGAGGGGGCATGGCCATTTCGACCCATGTCAAGGATTCCAAAATCCCTGGCTGCTCGATGGTGAGGGTCCTTGGCTCATCTCTTGCAGCATCTTCTAGCAGATTTTGGGATAGACTACTCCAGCGGTATCTTGGTATATGGGCCACACCGTCTTTAATGGCATACTCATAATCCACGGTGTCATTGGTTTCAAACCGATCTCGCTGGAATTTCCGGTAGATCTCGACTAGGGTAGCCTGTGACTTTTGGTCAAAGTTGTCCAGCTCCACTGTCGCGAAAACCATCTCATATTCAACTCGCATGGTTCGTGCGAAGCCCAAGGTCAACCCGTAGCGGGGATTTTGACAGAGTGTCTGAGAATTGCAGGTAGCCCAGAGCACCCTGGTAGATGTGCAGGACGAAATGTATTTCTGGACTTGTTCATATCTGTACTGCGTCATCTGATACAAGAACGGCTCTTCGATATCGAGGAGAAATATCACGTCTTCGTTGGGAGGTGGCGGGTTTGAAATTGTACACCAAGCAACAGAGAAGCCGGCATCCTTCAGCTTTTGCGCAAGCTCAATGATCCATGGGTGTTTCTTCGAATGGCATAAGACATTCACCGTTCCATGGTCAAGACGCCGTGGAGATGCAACGGAAGCTATAATCGAGGTCATGTATATCTCTGCTTCGTCTGCCTTTTCGTGGATACCTACAAACCCGGCCCTTTGAAGCTCTTCATGCCACCGGTCCGCTGAAATATATGGAGCGTCCGCCCGATTGTCACTCTCGCCCATCCACCACCCGGGAAGCACCCCCTGTCACGATTAGTATTCCTCTCTTCAAAGGAGCAAAGAAAAACAAACCATAATGTAGTCAATTGGTAAGGCATCTGGAAAGACGTTAGTGTGAATATTGGCTACTATTAATCGAGGGACAACTCACCAGAACAGATTTCTTCAATCAATATACGACCGCGGGGCTTGAGAAGAGATTTCACGTTCAAAAGCGACTCCTGGATCGACGGTGTTGCATGAAGGACCTGGCCATGCTGTCAGCATGCTATCTTCTAGGGTAGCAATTGAAAAGAAACAAACATTTGACGCAACTACCAGGTCATAGGACTCGGTCTCTATGCCCTGCTCTGCCAGGGGGCGACTGATATCCAGTACTGCAAATTCAAGTGCATTGTGAGCTTTGAATCTTTCCTTGGCAGGCTGGAAAAAACTTGAAGAAATGTCCGTGAAAGTATACCGGGAGTACTGCCGATTGTTTCCAGGGGGATGAAGAGCTCGCAGCACTCTCGCTGTTGTTGCCCCGGTTCCTGCTCCAATCTCAATGATTTTCAGATTGGGTCGGCTGTGCCCCAGAACCTTCAGGAAACCTTCATAATTTCTTTGAGACCCGGTGTTGTATAATCGGGTTAAGCGCTCATTTTCCATTAGAATGTCGAGTGGTGAACATTTTCCTTCCACAATATCCACGCATTGTTCCAATATCGCGAAACTCAGTTCCGCAAAGCAATTAGTGAGTGGCATTGTGGCCTCAATTTCTTGCCGAATATCAGTCAGAATGTCTAGCCACTCTTGCCTCGGGGCCCGCAGGAGCGCCTGTATTCTTGATTCCTTCACCGGGTCAGAGCTTTTCAGGACGGCGGCTGATTTTGAGATTACCCATCTTTGATACTTGCGTAGATGGTCGGAAACCGGCTCCAAAGAAGTAATGCGTCTCGCCGTTTCGACTAAACACATGTCAAAAAATTGGTACTTCGGGAAATATTGCTCATTGAGACTGCCAATCGTTGGTTCCGGAGACGACAGAAGATGATCCTCCGGTAAAACATCCACATCAGGGCCCCAAATGGCATTCGAGCACAGCTGACGATCTCCATCGACTGACTGGCCGTCATCGAGGCCTACAAACTCGACCCCATCTATTCTCACTGCGACCTGGCTTCCCCACTGTGCGATAACGCAGCCAGAATTTACACCAAGAGAGGTGACTGCCGCCGTCGCCTCGAGAAAAAGGGTCGGCCCTGTCTTGCCTGCAAAGACCTCTTTGATAAAGACCGGCAAACCCGCGCCGTGGCATTTTCGGGAAAGCCCATTACACATGGCGACTGCCACAAGCTGTAAGCATTGATCGATGGTAGGAGGATCAATCATGTTTCCAGGATCAGGAATTTCAAGGCTGGCAGCAGCGGATGATTGTACTGGATGTGCCGATATGTTCTGGAGTTGGCTGAATCGTGGCCCGTATTCCAGCCCACGGTCTTTCAAACTACTATACCACACTTTTGATTCAACCTTTCTCGGGAAGCTTCTGATGTCTCGGGATGCAGATGAGGACTTTTCACCCCGTCCTTGCCCGGTGCAATGGTTGATCCATGAACCCCTCCGAAAGGCCGTGATGGAGAATTCGTACCATCCAGATCCCGGCTCGTTGGTAGATCGGACTGGTCGGAGTGTCGTCACAATTTCCATTCTTTCATGGTCATGCAATGTCAATGCCTTGTTTATGCGTAGGTCTTTCAGGCAATATTTATCGCAGCGGGTGATCTGGCCGATCGCTTCGCCTATCATCGCAATATATCCTGCACAGGGGAAAACTATCGACCCACCGATTCTATGATCCCAAAGCCATGGGACGTCGTTAATGTGCAGCATACTTCTCCAAGCTGGTTCAATCTGCGTCGATTCCAATACTCGGGAGCCCAAGAGCTCGTGGTGTCCAAACGGGCGAAATCTCCACTCTCGAGTGAGTCGGGTCTCACGCCAATCCGTCTTACCACATTCCCAGGGGTAAGGATCAAGGTCGGTGAGGACCTCCCTGCAGCCATTGGATGCGACAGGATTGACAGGGATCCCAGACAGGAATAAGTCACCCAATGACCGTAGAAGCGACGATTCCTGGCCCTGTCCACGGACTAGGCAGGATGCATACGACATTTCGTTCTTTGTGTTTCTGGACGCTTTGAAAATATCTCGCAGTGGGCCTGCTAAAGCTGAATGAGGACCAATCTCTCAGGAAGAATGCACTCGCCTGTATCTCGTCAAAGATGGACTTGGCTGCGTCATAGAAGAGTACTGGCGATGCCAGATTTCTGCACCAATACTCGGTATTCAGCTGGTATGGATCAGATACTCGATCTCCGGTCAGACTTGAATACATCGGGATCATTTCCTTTTGCAATTCCATGTAAGGACAAATACGGGAGGTGTATAATTTGGCAATCGGAGCCATGAATCCTATGTTCAAATTAGTATCGCAGACAATTGACCCCGATGACCTCGGAAAATGGATGAATTGAACTGACGGGAGTGATATGCCCTGTCCACGCGGAGCTGCCGGCAAAGCACATCTGGATGATCTGACTTGATCCTGTTCAGCACCACTTCCACCTGAGATGGCTCACCGGACAGAGTGATACTTATAGGGCTGTTTTCACAGGCGAGCACAACATCGTCCTGCAAATATAATTCGACTGTCTCTCGATTCAATCCAATCGCTGCCATCGCCCCGAGCTGACTTGATTCTTCGACCAGCAAGCCACGATAGTAGCTGATAGCAATAGCACATTTGGCAGTTATGGCGCCTGCGGCATACGCAGCCGCAATCTCACCACTAGAATGACCGATGACTGAAGTGGGCTGACAGCCCCGTTCGGCCAGAAGGTTCACTAGAGCAATCTGTAACGCACAGCAAAGGGTTTGAGAGAGCTTGGGGGAATTGATGCGATCATTGTCTGGATCCACCAGGGTGTCTGGAAATTTACTGTGAGCTAATGCATGAAATTATCCTCTCAAACTGTGTGCTTACCTTCTAAGCTCCAGCTAGGGTGACTCTCCAAACTCTGCAAGATGTGATCTAGTGAACGTATGGTGTCTCTAAATATAGAGAAGCGCGCCATCAGCTCTCTACCCATCCCAGGCCACTGGGCGCCCTGGCCAGTGAATGTGAATATCAGCTTTGGTATTGAGCCAACGACCGAGCTTTTCATATCGCCCATATTTTGCTCGTTGTCTCTTGATTTTATGAGAAACCCTCTATGTGTGAGATGCTCACGACGAGCAGCCAGGGTATACTCCAGATTATCAAGTCGACTCGGATGCAACTCCATGTACCTGAGGATGCTCTCTCGTCGACGCAAAAGTGCCGCTTGACTCTTTGCAGATACGAGTAACAACAGATATCTTGAGTCTTCCCGCGTATTTTGAGCTGTCGATGTACGACGGAGCGATGAAGACGAGTCAACGATTACCTACAGTTTGATCAGCTACCTCATCTTCGATATAAGAGATGTACGGGACGATACTACTCACATGTGCATTTGTACCTCCAATTCCAAAGTTGCTGACACTGATTCTCTCTTCTCGGTTTTTTGGCCATGCGGTGAGCTTTGTGGGGACACGAAGACGATTCTCTTCCCAGGGAACTAGTAAAAGTATTAGCCAACTGCTTTTGATCTTTCAAAAGCATTCTGTGATACAAACTCCGTGGATTAGGGAGACGAAAGTGAATATTTGGTGGTATTTGCCTGTGCTCCAGACTGAGAACTGCCTTGACAAGGCTTGTAAGTCCAGAAGCCCCCTCGGAATGACCTACGTTCGGTTTTACCTATAAGTAAGATTAGCATCAAGGGACATACTGACAGCGAGTGACGAAAATATATACCGAGCCGATGTAAACCCCTTTGGGGAAGATTTTGGAGATCGCAGAACATTCGATTGGGTCACCTGCTAGAGTCCCAGTGCCATGGCACTCAACAAAGGCAGTCTGAGAGATATCACCGATAGACGCTTTTTGATATGCTCCAAATATCAGCTTTTCCTGAGCCTCTGCAGATGGCGTTGTTATTCCAGGGCTTCTGCCATCGCAATTCACCATGGTAGACCGAATTACGGCTCTGATCGGATCTCCATCACGGATGGCATCATCTAGGCGTTTGATTAAAACCGCATTTACAGCTTCTCCCCTTCCATATCCATCAGCCGAGGCATCAAAAGACTTCGAGATGCCTGAAGGTGAAAATACACTGAGTGCCGCTCCCTGCATTCCGATGGTTGGTGAGAAGATCAAATTGGATCCGGCCACAACGGCGGAAGTGCAATCCCCCATCTCTAGAGCCTGACATGCCTGGTTTAAGGCGACCAGAGAGGAAGAACACCCCGTTTCTAGGGTCATGCTGGTTCAAATTAATACGATTTCGATCCAACAGGGATGAAAAACTCACCTCGGACCTTTGAAGTCAAATTCGTATGACACCACATTTGCAAGCGCAAATTTCCCTCGTCCGATCAGATGAAAGTTGTGTGCATTTTGCGTATCCTTGGTCTCGATCTCTTCCCAGTCTCCTCCAAAAGTGCCGACAAAGCAACCGATGGGCATCCCCCGCCACCTCACTTGCCCAGCATTCTCAAGACAGTCCCAGACCACCTGTAACAGTAGCTTTTGCTGAGGATCCATCCGACCGGGCTGTAGCCCATCCATATCGAAAAAAGATGTATCGACTGTCTCCAAATCATCTTCTAAAAAGTATCCATGTCGCGTACCCACCGAATGGGCTCCAGACTCGCTATAGAATCCAGCCTCATTATATCGAGACTCAGGAACCACACATCGCCCATCTTGCCCGCCGCTTAACATCTGCCAAAATTCTGTGGTAGATCTTACACCTCCTGGCAACCGCACTGCGATTCCCAAGATAGCAATCGGCGCAGGCACATTCTCTTTTGTTTGACAATCAACGACGGGTTTCATTTTGGGAGCGAGGGTCTTGTTTGTGCCTGTGTCAGTCAAAGTATAGGCAGTCAGATCGACAAGAAAACGAAAAGTAAACTCAAGGACTTTCCCACGCGGTCGATAAGATGTCGGAGCGTTTATCAGGGGTATACCACTTCATCTTGCTCCCTCTATGCAAGGGATGTGATCTGCCTGCGGAAATTTCTTCATGCATTTCATGCAAGGGATTGAAGACTTTGTATTACCCGACTTCCATGCCGCCGCTGATCCCCGATGGTTATTAGAAGAGAATTATGATAAGGTAGTTGCCCATGTAGAAAGGCGGCACGTATGTATGATCAGGATCCGTCATAGGATGGCGGCACTCATGACATTCGTATCCTTTCAACCAATGCATTCGGTATTTCTTTCTTTCTTTTGTCTACTGACATTGGGATCAGTCCGACCGTATGTTCTGCACCCCTGATTTCGTTGTTTTGGCCTGATGTATCATGTTGTGGCATTGGCATTGGCCTCCTATTCTGCGAACACCTGGTGTATTGTCGATCGGCGGCCCGGCAACCACACCATCGACGCCCCATCCGGGCGGAACAATAATATTCCACGCTGCCCACGTAATCAATTTGTAAGTTTCTGATTGGTCAAAGCTATCTATGTATATCCCGCTTTAAATAGTGCATAATTTCAATTTACTTTACCTGCACGATATTTTGATTGTTATTCTTGCTATATGTGAGCTTAATACAAGATATCGGATGGTACTACGTCGGTCTCTGGTGCTCATGGTCATGTATGGCTGTGTTCCGAAGTGGCTACTCTGATTACGGAGTACCCGCCAGAGAGAAAGTGAAAGAAAAATAATAGCCAATAGTTTAAATAAGAAGCAAGCATCCGGTACATATCTCGAAGATTCATAGCTTTCAATGAGAGGGTGACTCGAAAATAAAGGGAGGAGGTCACGTTGCTTTTGAACCACGATCGTCTGGAAGTAGTTCGAATCAACAGCCCATGAGATGTATCGGAGAGGTTGGCCCCAACTACTAAATATTTTGGTACGAGTAGATTTTCATCGAAATATCGCTTGAGTTTACAGCACCGATCGCAGGCAAAGGCATGTCTTCCTTTTGACCCTTTTGTCTTGAAACTTACAAGGTTAAATGATATACGCTGATGACAATATCAATGAAATGTGCACATCCTATACGTAGCGTTGATAGACCCAGTGTACGAGTAACTTAAAACCAATTGAAATTTCATCGCAATCTTGAAACATTATCCCAAGTGCGAGTTGGCCAAAGTTCGGCCTCTGACTATTGTGACCATTCCTTGAAGTAAAGTTCCAGCAGATCAATCATACTTTGGCACTGCAAAATGTCGGGCCGATTTTCTAGAGCCCTGTGCAAATTCTCTGTGCCATACACAACCACGTCATCATTTTCGCTGTCCCACCAAATGGAGCTCTCGGACGATCTCTCTGCTATAATTGGAGCAATATGGCTCAGAGCATGAAGTTTTGTGCCTGATACTAGCTCCAGCCACTGGGAAAATGTAACGCTGCGCAGAGGCTGTGGGGCAAGTTGACTGAGGATGTTGAATGTGCTTGAAAGGCTGATGTTCTGATCTTGATCCGGGTGGATCAGGTTGTATGCTTGGCCGATATTTTTGTTCGACAGAGAAATATGTACAGCGGATGAACACACAAAGTCGATAGGAACGAAGAAGTTGCGCTGGTTGGGGGGATGGGGAAATGTGCCCAAACGGATGCAAGTGGACATGAATCTATTCACAGCATCATCTGGGTTTCCCACGCCAGTTACACTGTGCCCCAGAACGAAGCCAGGTCGGTAGATACTGAGAGGGAAGCCGTTTGCGATAACATCCCAGCAAATACTCTCGGCAACAAACTTTGTGAGGGGGTAACCCTGTTGATGCCGTAACTGCCTCTGGGCAGCCACTGGTCTTTGGTTTTCGGGGATATAGTCTTGTCCGCCCAGAAAGCCAACGGGACCGTACGCCGCCAGTCCAGAAAAGTAATGGACGGACTTCAGACGATGAGTATTGGCGAAGCTTAGAACATGGACAAGACCCATCACATTCACCTCACGCTGGGCAGAGTAAGATAAGGTATAGTTGACTACAGCTCCTAGATGAAAAACGGAGCTGCATTTCTCGGCCAAATAGGCGAACTCTGTGGCTCCCAGGCCGAGATATCGTTGCGAAATATCACCAGGAGCCGTCCTAATCTTGTGTTGGAAATCGATTGGAAGATCGAATTTCTTGAATGTCGCATCCAGTCGACCCATTGCCGCTGCACCATCGGCAGCTCGGATCAAACAAGTGACGGTGTGAACTTTAGGCAGTGCTACCAGCATAGAGAGCAGAAATGCGCCCAAGAATCCCGTGGCACCTGTCAAGAGTATATGGCCTTCCGTCTCGGAGTGCCATTCTGGCACCGGGCCAGGAATTGGACGGAAGTCCCGACCGAGGACCAAATCTCCCAGATGCAGATCATCAGTTTTAGTCGGAGGACCTTTGCTCTCCTTCATTTCCGTATCACCCGCCTGATATTTGACGCGGAGAGCGTTCACTGTAACCTTTCCAAGACCTCCAATAGTTGATGCGTTCGAGATGTCTAGCAATGATACCTCCAGCTTCAGGTGACGCCGAAACCAGCTTCTAATCTCGATCATGACCAGGGATTCTATCACCATGTTGCAGACCTCATCATCATCCATATCATTAGTATTGGAAAGGTGTGATCCGATTTCCCTGCCGAGTACCTTGATGATTTGGCTTTCCGTAGCCGGATCATCCAATATTTGAGGGTCTCTTTGAATCTTCTCGACCAAATCCTTGAAATCTCCATGTAGTGTTGCTGTGCTCTGTTCTTCAACTGAGACCATTCTTCCCCAGAAGCTATATCGAGCATCCTGGTCCCAAGGGGGCACTACTCCAGGATCAGACAGAGACCTGGTGGTTCCGAGGCCGCTGGCAAAGTGCCCTGGCTGACTCATGGCCAGCTCCAAGGCCTGGAGCAAATCGCCCTCCCCAATGGTTTGCATTGATGTGGAGTACGCACGCTGTATGAGCTTTGGCATATGCTCATACGCGAATCCGACATCATCAATCAGTCCAACATCAATCACACTTGCCACAAGACCATTCTCTTGACGATACTTAACAAAGGCATCCAAAAATGAATTGGCTGCCGCATAGCTTGTCTGGCCAGTATTTCCACACAGGCCGGCGATAGAGCTAAAGCAGACAAAGAAGTCGAGCTTGCTACCGATCAAGGCATTGTGCAAGTTCAATGTGCCTTGGACTTTAGGGGCCAGTGTCGATATCCAACTGTCGTGTGTCAATTTGGACAGAAGTTGGTCCTGTGTACCAAAGTTAGCTCATGAAAAATCCTAATGAGGGCGTTTGACTTACTCTGAGTACCATGGACATTTGTATCACTCCCCCGATCCGGTTCTTGCAGGCCGAGACTGCCCGCTGTACGTCATGCATGTCGTCCACACTTCCACTGACCGCAGTCACTGCGCAATTCTGACTTTCGAGCTCCTCAATAAATGAAATTGAGTCCGGATTTCTCCCAGCAGATCGACTCAGGAAAACAAAGTTTCGAGCACCTTTTTCCACCATCCACGTAGCCACCGCGCGACCCAGGCCTCCGAGACCACCAACAAGGAGGAAAGAGACATTTGGAGGAAGTTTGAAGAATGACATATTACCAGTGACTGGCCGTAACGTAGAATTCTCGGGCATTTTGATCACGACCTTTCCCATATGATTTCCCATTTGCATGTGTCCAAAAGCCTGCGGAATATCGACTGCTTCAAAGAAGGTAACTGGCCGGATGGGCTTGAGTTTACCCTGTGTGATATATTCCATGCCCTGTTGAATCAAACTAAACGAAGTAGGAGTTTTGATTAGTCTTATCCTTCATGATTCCTCTCGGGGCTTGCATACCTGCGTGACTCAGGCTCGTCCTCGAGGAGCTGCTTTAGGTCGACACCGATGAAGGATCTGTTCCCAGTGAATAATTTCATGTCCAACTGGGCATGGCCTAACATGTCGCGCTTTCCGAGTTCGATCATTTTCCCACGTTTGGCGACACATTTCCAGGAAGTGTGTAGTAGCTCTCCAGATAGGGAATTGAGAACGATATCTACCCCCTGATGGCCAGTCTGCTCCATCACCCCGTGAAAGAAGGACGGGCTCCTGGAATCAAAAATATGGTCTCGAGAGATTCCAAAGCTTTCCACGAGGTATTGAGCCTTACTTTCGCTTCCAACGGTAGCAAAAATCTATTTGGTTCAGCGTGTGACCTAGGTTGGAAGTTGTCATAAAGAGCTCAACATACCTTAGCACCGAGCATCTGACATACTTGAATCGCTGCAAGACCAACTCCACCACATGCAGAGTGTATCAGTATGGACTGTTCTTCCTGAAGCCTGCAAATTTCGATAAGCGAATAGATGGCGGTGGTGAATACGCTTGGTACTGTTGCTGCATCGGCCAGTGAAAGGCCAGACACTAGGGGTGAGCAGCAGTGAGCAGGAACAATCTTGCGAGTACATAGAAGTCCGTCTGTCACTAAAACAACCGCCTGGTTAACCTGGAGGTGTTTGACCGAGGAACCAACTCGGCGAATGAACCCGCTGCCCTCAAGGCCAAATTCGGTTTTGTTCCCAACAACACCCATGGCAACCATTATATCCTAATATGGCACGTTCAGTAAGCAAACCATGGAATAGAGAAAGCAATTTTCTAAGAATGCCTACCCTGAAGTTCAACGAGCAGTATTTGACTTCGACCTCGACCTCATCGTCTTTCAAATCGCGTGAAGCTTGTTCACGCCACGCAAGTGAGCTCAACAATCCGTATGTGCCAATATCCAGGACTTTTCCATAGTCGTCCAAAGGCTTCACAGCAGCCAGTGCCTCTTGAACTGGGGTCCAATGGGCTCGACTAACATGGATAACTCCTTTGTGTACCGCAAACTCGCGATCTGGGTCAAGCCAGGGGCAAATCCCTTCTCCCTGTATGTGCTGCAAAGTGCGAAGAAGGGAGACAACACCAGCGGCATCGTATTGGTCCATTTCGAGAGTGGCAAAAGCCGGCATTATCTCGTGTCTCATCGTTCGCGCAAACCCCAGCGCCAACGCAGACCGAGGGTCTTTGCATTCCATTTGTGAGCTATCAGTAACCCACAAAACCCTGGAGTGCGTCATTTGGCTAGCGAATAGCTGGATTTGAGCCAATTTGTTCTCAGACATGTCAGCAAAGAATGGGCCTTCAAGGTCAATAAGAGATATGACATCTTCCGCCATGGGCAACCGCTCTCCCAGAGCTACCCATGTCACAGTATAGCCGGCCTGAATTAGACAATCTTCCACCCACCGGGCCCAGTCCATGATTTTCGACAGGTACAAAAGAGCCACACAACCACGGTGAGGGGAGGCGATGCGAGGTCGCGACACAATTATAGTGTCGAGATGATAAGGCGACGAATGACTCGTCAATTCAGCAGCATCCGAAAGGTCAGCTTCCTGAAGGATTTTCTGCCAATCCTGCGTAGAGACAACAGATCTCTTGAGATCGTGCTCCTGTTGCTCCCACCATGTCGGGTAAATAGCCATGACATATGTGACCAGGGGAATGGCTGCCCAAGACCCTTGGTAGAGAATACGGCCGCCCGGGCAAGAAGAGAATAGATAATCTTGAACACAGAAGAGGCGTGGCTGTCTGTATCAAATGCCTCGGAGGCGATGATTAAATCATAGCTCTCAGGCTCCAAGCCCTGCTCTACGGGATACCTGCTGATTTCCAGCAGGGTAAACTCGACATTCTTGGCCGACTCGTGTCTCTCCTTTTCCCGGGAGATGCGATCAGCTGATGTATCAGTGACGGTAAATTTTTCGTACATCGGGATTCCGTTTTTTGACGTGAGGTCAATAAGGGCCTGGGATATTGCAAATCCGTTGCCTATACCAACTACAAGGACTCGTATGGTTGGGTTTGAGTGACCAAGTAGGCGAAAGAAACGCCTGCAGCCAGCGCTCGTGTACAGGAAATCAGACACTGCTGTTAAAATATCCTCTTTGTTTGCGACGTCCTCGGGCCGTATTCTCCCTTCCATCAAGTCAACCGACAGATTGGAGATATTTCGTGCTCTGCTGCAGAGTACATGGAGCTCAGGTATGTTTAGCTCCAGCTCTTCCATGGATTCGGCGAAAGGGTCATCTTTGCATAGTGAGTCCAGACATTTCACATTGCTCCTGGCTCGCGGCAGATCATTGACCTGGGAACTGATCCAACCTTGATAACTTTTCAGATGAGGACTACTTGGTTGCAAACAGTGTATCTTGTCTGCAGTATCCAGAATCAACGAATGCGTGAAATTTTGAAGCAACTCCGCAAGATGTTCGGGTATTGTTTCAAAAATAATTTGGTCCGGAGAGTTGAGCAGATCAATATGCGGCTTCCAAGATAATTTAGTAATCATGGATACTTTGTTGGTAGCAGAATCCTGATCGTCAACAGAAACGAGCGTTGCGTTGATCATTGATAGAACAACACCATCCTTTGAAACCATACTCACATCACCAGTGATTGACTGGGCCGATGAGTTGCAAAAGGCATGTAAAGACATGAGACCCTTCCCGGGGCAGATATCAATGTTTTCAATCGATACAGGAACACTAAACGTCGTAATGTGACGGCAGATACCATGGACCGCCGCAACACCAAATAGCTGGAGAGCTTGATCTATACTTGTCGGATGAAGTGTATATCGATCGCAGTGATTCGCATTGTCGTCGGGATGGCAATGAATAGAGGCAACCGCATGACAACTGGAGGGACTGGCAGAGATGTTTTCCAGACGTTGAAACGCGGGTCCAAATGCGAACCCACGCTTCTTCAACGCCCCATACCATGCCTTGGAAGGAAGCGAACGCGGATACGTCTTGTTTTCAAGGGGAAGATGGTAGCCACTGGTACCGGCCCTTGCTTGTCCAACACAATGCTTTTTCCATGATTCGTTCTGGTATGCCATGATGGTTATCTCAAACCAGACTGAGTCTTCCGTATCTGTCAGCCTCACTGGACGAAGACTGGTGAGTATTTCAGCTGGTTCCGATCCCTTCAACACTAGAGGGGTCTTCATGAGCAAGTTACGGATTCTGTAGCTTTCTGACCCCGTAATCTGTCGAATTGCTTCACCAGCCATGGCAATGTATCCAACACACGGGAATATCACATCTTGGCCCATGACGTGATCCAACAGCCAGGGTACACGGTCTACATGGAGAATCTTTCTCCATGAGGGTTCGATGTCAGCAGATTCCAGACATCGGGAGCCTAGAAGCTCGTGGTGAGGCTCTCGACAATGTCTCCACTGTCGAGCGAGTCGAGTCTCAGTCCACAAATCTTCATCGTGCAGCCAAGGGTAAGACGGTAGATCTGTCAGAACCTTTCCAAATGTGCCGTTGATAGCCGACAATTGAACTGGACAACCGTTAGAATAAAGTCGACCGGCTGCCAATAGCAGACCTCTCTGCTGTGGATGGTTTCGAATCATGGTAGGTATGTATTTTGATGTTTGGTTGGAGTCGTGCAAGCGCAAGATCTGACGGAGGGGGCTTGACAAGGCTGAGTGTGGCCCAATCTCTACAAATATGTTCGGCCCGCCAGTGTCTTGTATTAGAGTCTGGACGGCATCATTGAAAAGAACTGGTAGCTGCAGGTTGTTTTGCCAGTATGCTGCATCGAGAGTAGAAGGAGCACGTATGACGGCTCCTGTTACCGTCGAATAGAGTGGCGTCATCGTGCTGCTGTAGGATATGACTGGCATGATGTCGCGCTTATATATAGCTCCAGGCTTTTGCATACTCTCTATCGAGGTGTTAAGATTGCTTCCCTATTGAAAACTGATAAACTTACCGGAGTGATATGCAACAGAGACTTCGAGTCGCCTGCAAAACGTATCCGGCTCATCTGCTTCAATCTTTTCAAGCACCTCTGCCAGAATATCTTCATCCCCAGAAATTGTGACGCTTTGCGGACTGTTCTCACATGCCACTGCGATTCTATCTCTTAAGTATGTGCTAGCCCGCTTGGGGGGACATTCCAATAACAGCCATGCCACCACGCTGTGTTGTGGACTTCATAGCTTGGCCTCGGTAGTACGACAAGGAGATAGCCACTTGAGCATTAATTGCGCCAGAAGCATAAGCAGCGGCAATCTCTCCACTTGAATGGCCAATGACAAAATCTGGATGTATACCCCAGGCTCGGAGAATATCAGTCAGTGCGATTTGAATTGCTGTGCAGATCGGCTGACAAAATTCAGGTTCCGAAATCCTGGTCGAGTTATCTTCTCTCAGAAGCTCATCTAAAGCTAGTGTTAAAAAGCGGAAGTTCTGAGATGATAGCTGATAGGAAATTACCGTGTAAATTCCATTCTGGGGGGCTCTTCAACCGCTTCAGAGCTTGGTCCATTGTCCAAATACTTCTGCAAAAGCTTGGAGATGCTGATAATAATTCTCTTCCCATGCCCGCCCACTGTGCACCTTGGCCGTTAAACACAAACACAATACCCGATTTGGTTTCCCGGGACTTTTCAAAGTCCGATACTGTACCGTCCTGATCGATAATTGCAAATGCTCGATGCTTCATATGGTCCCTTCTGGTGCCTAAAGTATACGCCAGATCGTTGATATTGACAGAACTATGGGCCAAATATTGCTTGATGTTATTCACTCCCTCTTCTAGTGATTTGGCGTTCTTTGTGGAAACTACCAATAGCCTTGGGTTCCCTGAGCAGGGTACATCACCAGGTGACGTGGAATTCGCGGGTGGGAAAGAGTCCAAAATGGCCTGTGGAATGTAAGTATCGTCATAAAAGTTACATCTATTTGGATCCAAAAACTCACATGGACATTTGTCCCTCCGATTCCAAAACTATTCACGCTTACTCGTTCGGCCTTCCCTTCTGGCCACGCCATCGGCTCTACAGGCACCTTCAATTTTCCTTCTTCGAAAGGAACTGGCGTGCCCGACTGTCAGCAAAAGATTTCTTGTTTTATGGTGCTTGGAATCACGTACTTTTTGGATTTGGGTTCAAGAAATGGGCATTAGGTGGGATGATCCTCTTTTCCAGCGCTAAGGCAGCTTTGATGATGCTTGTCAAACCGGACGCACCTTCCGAGTGACCAACATTAGGTTTCACCTTCAATGCCATTAGCATGGTCCCAAAAAAAACGTCCATCAGTTTCCCAACATACCGCGCTGATATAAACACCGTCCTTTTGGAAAATCCTGGCAACAACGCTTGTCTCTGCGGTATCGCCTGCAATTGTTCCAGTGCCATGACATTCAAAGAGGGCAGTTTGTGATAAGTTATCAATCCCAGCCTTTAGATATGCATGTCGGATGAGACGTTCCTGCGCTTCTGACCCTGGGGTTGTTATGGTCGGTGTCCTCCCATCGCAGTTGGTAGCGGTAGATCGTATGACGGCGCGAATAGGATCACCCTCCCGAAGAGCATCTGCTAGAGGCTTTATAAAGATGGCATTGATTGCTTCCCCTCTACCGTAGCCATCGGCACTGGCGTCAAAAGTACGGCATAACCCACTAGGTGATAAGACCATGTTGTCGGAAATTGAAGTCGTCATGGTCGGTGCCAGAATGAGGTTCGACCCGCCAACAACGGCTGAATCACATTCACCACTGTACAATGCCTGGCAGGCCTCATGTAGCCCCACCATAGAAGATGAGCAGGCTGTCCGATAGGTAATACTATTCACGGTTCCATTAGAATTCAAGGGCTTAGAGGTAGGTTCAACGGACTATTCACCTTGGACCCTTGAGGTCATATTCATACGATATCCGGTTCGCAATCGCAAAGTCTCCTGTGCTCATAGCATGAAACCTATCGATACATTGGGTGTCCTTTGTTGACACTTCTAGCCAGTCTTCGCCAAAGACACCAACGAAGCAACCGACATTCTTTCCACGCCAGTTCCTCTGTCCGCCACTCTCCACGCATTCCCATACGACTTCTAGCAATAGTCGCTGCTGCGGATCTAGCTTTCCTGCCTCGGTTGTTGTCATGTTGAAAAATAATCGATCGATGTGGGCTATGTTGTCCTTGAGGAAGTATCCATGTCGAGTTTTTACAGTGCCAGGCACAAAGGGACTGTAAAATGCGTCAACGTTGTATCGTGTTTCTGGTACCTCGCAGTGGCCATCCTGCTTGTTAATAAGCATCTCCCAGAATGATTTGGCATTGGTGACACCTCCGGGAAGCTTCATTGCCATTCCGACAATAGCGATAGGAAAAGGAACGCAATAAGATGTTGAAATTTTGTCTGCATCTTCGGGTGGTCGGGTGTCTTGAGCAGAGGGCGCTGTGCCATTCTTCGAGTCAACCGCACCATTTTCAGAAATCCCTGCGCCCTCAGGAGCGGTCTCAATTTTAATCTCCGTCATCTCGCAAATTAAGTACCAGTTATGCCTGTCGATATTGCCATCAAAATTTGGCTCACTCTGGATTTGCAAAGATTAAGCGTTCTGTATTAAAGCAAAACCCTAAACCCCTCTCTAAAAAAGAAAAAAAGAAAGGCTTGGGGAGTAGTGATCTCAGTTGAACTGTCAAAGCTACGAATGCAGCTATATCGCCTCAAATCTCTCCATTGCGCCTGGGTGAACAAGACCATGATTCAGCCTTTGCCTCGTGTGACACCATTAGTACTAGTAATATTCCTGCATGTACACTGCATATGGATATTGAAATGAAATAGGGGTATACCACGGGTATTTCCCCCTTGCAGACTAACACTGAGGTATCTTCCAATATTTTCCTGACACATAAATGGGTAGTATAACGGCTCGGAGTTTACATGCCACAAACTTCAAATTCAGTGGATTCTGTTCCAAAACACCTACGTACTAGTACCCACATAAAGAGTCTTGATCTGCATGCCGATTCCAAATTCAGCCAACAATCTGGACACCCTTACATTTTAGGTACATCCATGGCTTTTCTCTGGCTTGATCTAGTAGTATCATACTTCCAAACTTGAATTTGATCCTCGTCGGGAAATGTATCATATTCCACTCCCAGAAGCTAGCCTTCTGTTCCAACTTATTCATTATCCTAAGGTTTCAGTAAATCATATGAATGTGTAAGTGAAACTAGCCACATTTACGCGAAGAGCTGGTCTTTTCCATTTTCAAGCCCAGATACGTCTTTTTACACGGTATGCTAATTAGCTGCAATTTTTGTCATGAAAACTTGAATGTCATTGAGCTGACTTCCAAGTTGAACTACCGATAAATATCCAAACTTTCGAAGATAACTTCAACTTGAAAACCGCTGTCCCTTAGCTGTAATCTTCGCTGCTTTCTTCTCTTCCATCATTATCTTCGTCCTCAACATGCGATTCCTGAGATATTCACTTGCGCTAGTGTGTCTGTCAACTGCATCTTCCCTGGCACTCTCAGACCAAGCCAATGATGTTCTCGACAAAATCTCTAGCATTTCCGAGTCACTCCGCTCGAACGAAAAGGATATTGGTCGCTACAAAGGGGGCTTCGTGGCATCTGCTCCCCTTGCCCGGGGGTTCTATAATACTTGGAGCACCATGAGGACCGCTAATTCTCATGTCCCAACCGATACGAAATTCACATGGGAGGATGCGGATACGATATTTCACAGTATTGATTCTGCCAACGATCTCAGTGTTCAATTATTCCAAGCATACAAGGAAAAGGTTTGTCTTTGGATCCCAGAGCATCGTAACCACACTGCATCATGCTAATGTCTTCTTGGTGCTAGGCCCCTAAGTTGAACCAGGCCGGCGCTGGCTTCACGGTTCCGATCTTCATGCAGGCATTGTACCGAGAGGCGGACGACTATATGGTCTCATTGGAACACCTTATGCCTCCTGATTTCGCAGGACCGATGCATCAGATTACCGCCAAGCACAAGGCAGCTTGGGATGCGACATTTGCCGCGTACGAGCCAGTCGGCAACCCGAAGACCCCTCAACAATTCAAGACGTTTTCTTCGATAGTGGCACCGATTTTGGGTTTCTTGGTTTAACATTTACGCCTACTTCGGTATGCACGGCCTGGATAGGATCGGTTGGCATATCCATGGATACCAATGCCAAGACAATTGGGAATTGGCACACTGTCGATCTTGAAATTTGTTTTTCTTTTTACTAGTTGAGACTAGGTGATTTTGCAGCTATTTTATTTTGCATATTTTCGGTACGAGCAACCAGGTAAATGCGGCGTCCTCGAGATGTGACATGTCAATAAAAGCCGTTCTGGCACAGAGACCCTCTCAACAGCGGTCTCAATAGATACTTCGTCCTCAATACATCATATCAATAAGTTCCATGGGGATTAAGCGTAAGAACTTCCCCTATGATCCAGGAAGCTCTATAAATCATAAATATATCCCCAAAATTGGGGCGCTCCAATAAATGCGGTACTTTTTCCTCATCGATCAATGCTATTTTGCTTGTTTGCCTGTTGTTTGTATCTTTCGGCTAAAATGTACCCTTGCCTCCAACCAACCCTTGGTCTAAACCCATTTGGGAATAACCCGCATAATGAATAATCTGGCTGACCGAGGCTCATGCGTCTGATTGGTCTCACGAGATCATGAGATCATGAGAATTTGGGTGCACTCCGTACATTCCGTACGCCCCTTGTTTGGCGGTGGGCCAAGCACCGGAGTCAGTTCAAATTACCCCTGAATCAGAACTGAATCGCTTGCATTGGCTGTACAATTGCCAGCTTGGATAGCCCCATTTTCTTTCAAGGTGCGTCATGACTTGTATGAAGTCGATCCAACACAAGGTTACTGCAAGCAACTTGAAGCAATACTATCAAAACAGGCCTCGGCTCAGATTCAACTATCTGATATTTTTGTACCTAGGTACTAACCCTGATTCTATTAACAATCAATTAGCAGATAAGCTTCTCACATATTTCTTTAACAGCGCTTCCACGGGGTTGGCAACGGATACTTTGTGAGCGTAGTAGCGTTGAGGCTTGATACTACGTAGTATTTTGATGGCCTGAGAAGGATCGTCCAAACTTGAGTTTGGAGACGATTTACTTTGATATTTGTCCTTCCATGAGATAAATTGCCTCGCGTTTAGAGTGTGAAGCCTTGGAGTGCCCGTCTCCAAGACTAGTTATAGGCTGGGAAACGCTAAGGTCCACTCATTCTACTTGATCGACCTCGGCGTATTTCATATCTGCAAGGCAGCCCTTGAAGATATTTAAAAATGACAGGTGTTGATATCGAGCACAAGGTTGAAAGCGACGTGTTCGGGGTGTGAACCGCCACCCCACGACTCTTTAGAGATACCACTTGCTTCGTTCCTTGGTGAGCAGTATGACCGCCATATTTTTGAACTTCATCTTTCCATTGGTGGTTCTCGGCGCGCCTTTCGTGACTGGAATCATTGGCCTCTTCTTTTACGAATACGTTGCCAGCTCTGCTCGCATTCGGCATGGGTTCTCTGTTCTCACCATTCTTCATATCTTCGGGGTGATGTTATTTCCTACCGTGAGCCCTTTTTTCAACTACATGATCGGGCTTATGTCAATTGTTCATGCCATGCGTTTCGTTGAAATATTCTTTGTCACCAACCCGCCTTCCTTGAAGCGACTTCAGAAAATTGGCCAATTATACTACTGGGAACCCATGCCCCCACCTTATACTATGAGCCGCATCGTGTGGGCCCTGGATTTGGTATCCAATTCTCGTGGAATCGGTTGGAGACATGGCCCTATCCGATATCTCCCCTCTGGATGCCGCATTCTGGACGGACGCGGGGGTTCTCGACCATTGAATACAAGGGGAATTCCAACTCCAAATCCCCGCCAGTTCCTCTGGGTCCAGGTGCAATGGATAGTGCTGGCATATCTATGGTTCGATCTATACAATATCATCTTCGTCCGTGGGCAAGCCAGCCGTATGGTTGATGCTGTCGCAGACACGCTAATTGGTGCACCTGTCAATTACCCAGTGAAGCAAGTTCTCCAAACATCCCTGGACTGTTTAATCAATATTATCAGCGCCCGATTCTTCCTCGGTGGCATGCAGGCCTTTTGGGGCCTGGTCGCAGTCGGCGTTTCCACGGATACACTTGGGACTACTGCAGATATATGGATGTGGCCGCCAATCTTCGGTGCTTTCAACCCGTTCGAAAGAAGCTTTCAAGGTAGTTACTTATTTCTGTATGGGTTCCGTGCTGATATTATCTCACTGACGTGTTATTACAGGCCTTTGGGGCAATTGGTGGCATGACATTCTCCAACGCCCATTTTACTTTATGACTGAATGGCTCTTGCCCCCAAATCCGTCCCAGACATCATATCTCTGGACTATTTTTGGACTCACCGGTGTCGTACATGCAGTCGCATCCTACGTCACTGTTCAAAAGGCCCTTCCTGCGGCACAGGTCTTGATCTCGTTCAGTCTCCAGCCGATCGCCACGGTTTATCTCAAGGCCCCTACCCGGTGGAGGATTTCCCAGTCACTAGGAAAACATAATTTTCTGCTTTCCATTGTTTGGGTCACCGAGAGCATCTTGTCAGCCGCCTGGTTCGTCTGGGGTCTCCATTGGTTTTGGACTGACCCTGGCCTGGCCGCATTCTTCACATCCATATCACTCCCTTGTAGTGCATTGCAGATGACCTGCTCCTTTTGAAGACAGAACCAGTTTTATTTTGGCTCAAGCCGAGATATTGCGGAGGAGAACAAAGTCCCGCTAATACATTCAAGGCTAGATGGTACTTTGCTTAGCGTCGGGGGTTGAGATGGATCGGGACCGACAGATAATCTAAATGATACACGGCAGAGAACAAGCTTGAGCGCTGTGAATTGGAACTAACATCACATAATTGGGACGCGAAATGCGAAATACACTGCGAAGTGGATTTCTTTTTTGTGGTTCATTTTTGCAGTTGGCTCCGAGTCTTCTCCACAAATCTTGTCCCATGAATATAGTCCATTATACCCATCACCCCGAAGTTCACATTGCTATGCTTGTGATGCAAATCATGCGACTTTGGCTTCAGATCAAGTATTCCGTAAAAGTCGTATCCGCAATGGACCACGAACGCTTCGGTGGAAACGAGAATAATATTTAGCCACTTGGTAAATACATGAATCCTCATCAAAAAGGCGGGTATGATGACAGGTAGGATACCAGTCAAGAAATAGTCCACCGGATGGAAATGCTGACCTGCCAAGGCCACGGGCGGCGTAAACTGGTGGTGTGTCTTGTGGAAGTAGCGGTAGATGAGTCGATGATGTAGGAAACGGTGAAAATAGTAGAAGAGAACCTCGCGGCTGAAGGTACAAATAACGATATCTGCAACGACCTCGCCTAACGGGGGAGTCTCTGCAGTGATTCGACAAAGTGATGTTATGAAAACGAGTCGGCGTAGAATCAGAAGTTGTACGTAATGGAGGAGGGCAACAATGAGTTGGTTTTGCAATGCGGATATTACAAATTTGCGCCAGACATAAAAATCAAGCGGTTTGCGCGTGGATCTTAATTGGTAATCTCGGAGGATAAAAAGATTAGAGAAGTCCAGAGGCATGAAGACCAGCGCCAGCAACAAATATGTTGTAAGCTGCGTCAACAAAGTACCCGTCACTTCGATTATTTCGGGTGAGTATGTCGAAACTATCTTGATCCATATTCTTTCCATTTGTTCTGGGTGTGCGAGAGCCGCAATGAGATTGTGGTGGTGATGGGGAAAGAATGCGAAGACAAGAGAGAGGGTTGTTTTTAAAGCAAGCGATTCGCTTGGGTCAAGGAAGCCAGGGATGGCGATTAATAATTCCTGTGTTCAAACCCGCACGCTTCTGATGACAGGAATGGAAAGACGATCACATGCCATTTGTCTCGTCAAGTATGTATAGAAGACCCTACAACTATACTGGTGCCGTCTTTCGCTGCGAAAACAATTGTTTCTACTGCTCTACTTTCGGTAACAGCGAGTTAAAACTTGCCCCCTTTGTTGCATCATTTGTTGACCACCATGTGTGCTTGAAATTTGACTACATGTACCTAAGATCTCCATAGAATATTCATCTTTACTGAAATACATACAAGTCATCAGAGAGATGTATCATATCCAAAAAGCACAGGTAGCTGGGGACCTGATCAATGAAACTTAAATCACTAGTCTAAAAACTAGTGAAATAACTGCATAAGAAGTTACGACTAGACCTGTGCATGGGATTCCCGCTTATATAACGTAATTCCCAGCCGTCCCGAACACCCCATCCAAAATCGCGTCTTCCTACCTTCGTACCAACTTCAACCACCTACCATGCCACCAATTCGCTCTGGATCTTCGCAAAAACTAGCCAATCAAGAGGGTAAGATCCTGTTGGCTCTTTCAGATTTAAATGACGGCCGTGTTAAATCTCTTCGTATAGCAGCGAAGCTATATGCAATACCGCTTCCTACCCTACACGATCACGTATACAGCCAATCTTCTTGTGTTGATTCTTGCCCATCGGGCTATAAACTGACCTAATTAGAACCTAATTAGAAGAGGATTCGCTTGGTGAATAGATGCTCTCTATGGATTTGTGTGGAGCAGCCCCTATGCTAGCTACTGTACGAGATATAGCTAATAGACCTGTGCAAACCCATGGGCATATTTGGGCATGCCCATTGGCAAACCTGCCTATTTATGGGCATACCCTGACTGCCCATAACCCGCCTATAAGTAGGGCAAAAAGTAATGATAACCCAAAACCCATCAATGGGTTATGGTATTTGACCCAAAACCCATTTTTGGTTGGGTTGGGTTGGGTTGGGTCCGGGTTATAGTGGGTTCTGGCTTGGCATCGCCATAACCCATTTTGGGTTGGAGATGCCGACCCAAAACCCAATGGGTTAAACCCAATAACCCAGTGGGTTCCCATTTCAACCCATTTTGGCATAATTTATTCATAAATTTTATGTAGTGTATTTCAATACTTGATTTATATCTTTTTTTTCTAGAAGGATTTAGATACTAAGATTTTATATAGATATATATATAGTATTAATTATTGTATATTTAAAGTTTAGGACTAAAATATACAGTAATGAAAGAGTTATTAGAAAAATAAGACTTTTTATAAAGATATATATATTACAGTCAACTCCCGCAAGCTGCACACCCTCCCGGGCAGAGCTTTTCCCTTGCACACACCGGATGTGTGCAGCTTGTGAGATGATGATAATGTGATTATGTAATACATACATGAAGCCTTTCCTATTTGAGTTTAAACCCCATCTCCAACAATGTCGTCTGTTTCTTCCCATCTACCTCAAGCTTCTTGAATGCCTTTGTTAAATCCTCAATTAATGCCATATCCTTCTCTGTACACCCCTCTTTGTGTGCAGCCCATAGTGATAGATCTGATAGATGTCGCAGAATTACTGCATCAGTCGGTACCTCTGGCCTTGGTCCAGATATATATTCCTCATCAGGATCAGATATATCATCCTCGGTATCCTCACTAAGATTGATAATAATTTCGTCTAATTCTGCCTCTGCAGTATCAATACTTTCATCTGATGGGTTTAGGAACTCATCAAATGGTAATATTTCTTCCGCATTAGGTTGAACTGCAAGCTTTTCAACTATCTGATCGTAAAGAGGCTTTAGTTCAGGAACTAGTGGGTTATTTTCTACCTGGTCTTGATCTGTTTGATCTTGATCAGATATACAATACCCAGAAACAACAGTACTCTTTTTGTAACAGTTCTGAATAGTCTCATTGGTAACCTTTGTTCGCTACGCTTGCGTTAACCACCGAAGTGTATAGTTTAGACTCATGCGTTCACGTGGATCGATACCACGGTCTAGCATACCTATCATCCAATACATCCAGCTTTTGCGATAATAATGCTTGAGGTTTTGGATAATACCCTGATCTAGGGGCTGGTAGATAGATGTAGCGTTTGGTGGGAAGAAGACTATTCTTATATTAGATGGTGGTGGCGCTTTTTCAAGGGCTACAAGATGTACACTGAAATTATCCATCAATAGAAGTACACGTCTTTACCTACCAATCCGTAGATAAAAACTGCGTAACCATTGTTCCATAATTCCGTGTCTCATCCAAGCCCTCTGATTATAGCGCCACACACATCCAATAGAAGATATATTTACCCCTCTTAATGCATGAGGCTGTTTTGCAGTCCTAATAATCCAGAGAGGTAACCGGTCTGAACCAGTTGCATTTGATGCAACAACGACAGTAACTCTGGTCTTATCTCTTTTCTGGCCAGGACGACCTTCAGAAGCAAGCCCGCCATTAGGCATACGGCGCCAGTACAGACAAGTTTCATCCATATTATAGATATCATCAGGGAGGTATTCATTGCAGATAACCTGGACTGCTTTCATCTCATTATGTATTGAGTCTGGTACCGATACAGCTTCACCATGGAAGGTATGCCATTTAATTGCATATCGACGTTTGAAGCGAGATAACCAACCATCACTAAATGTAGGCATAGGCTGATCTTTATATATTGGTATCTTCCTCCAATATTCTGCAGCTTTGAGACGAAGCAGAGGCCCTGTCATAGGAAACCCTTTCTCTGTATGTCGTTTTTGCCACTCAAATAAGGCCTCATCGAGTAGTGGCCAGGCTGCAGTAGGCGTCTTCTTTTTTATTCCAGCTTCACCATTATCCAGATAGTCATATCGAGATGATAGTGTACGTGAAACAGTAGTACGATCGATTTTTCGGCCAAATTTCTCTTCAAACCAGGCAGCACAAGCTCTCTGGGTAGGCTGTGGGCGTGTATCAGATGCAAAGAGACGTAGGGCTTTCCGCTGAGCGTCGGTAATTCCCATATTTGGTCGCTTTGGATAGGGTATATTCGCGGAAAGCGTGATCGAAGATCGGACTGAAGAGATAGGGATAGGAGGGAGAGACGGCGACGGCGATCTGGAATACTGCATAGTGATTGGTCAATGATGATGAATAAGCGAAAATATGGAAAAGAAAAAGTGTGCACACCGCGGATGGTGCAGCTTGCGGGCGTTTTATATGTAAGAGTGGGGCAAAACTAGGCCGGGCAGAGAAAATATGTGCACCTGGCGAATGTGTGCAGCTTGTGGGTGTGCAGCTTGCGGGAGTTGACTGTACCTAGTAGGGTATACCACTATCTTTACTATAGAGCTCTGTAATTTATTTTATTTTTAAATACACTACTTTTTAGCCTTTTAATATATAATATATATATATTAGATATAGAATAATAATAATATTAAATAAAAAACTTAAAATACCTATATATAAGGCCTAAAAACAGCACTAATACATACTGTATTTAAAAGCTTGGTATGTTTGCCTTGTTTACACTAAAATAGGAACCCACTGGGTTCCCAATTGGGTTTTGGGTTGGGTTGGGTTGGGTTGGGTCCGGGTTATAGTGGGTTCTGGTGATGCCTAGACAAGACCTAGCTTTTTGCTTCAAAAAAAAAAGAAACACATAACTTAAGTCAAAAAGATAGGGGCTGGGGGCTAAATAAAATCAAAACACGCTAATTTTATTGCTTATTAATACTAGCGGAGGTCGAGGTTTTCTACCTCCGCTGTAAATCGATTTGTAGCGGAGGTAGAAAATTTCAACCTCTGGTGGGGCGAAGTCACGTTATTTTTCTACCTCCGCTCAGCTGTATGCCCGGCGTACAAGCCTAAGCGACTCGGCGGTGCCCTTGATTAGTAATACTCTATATTAGGTAACGTAATTCCCGGCCGATCTGGACACCCGGCCGATCTGGACACCCGGCCGTCCTGGACACCCCAAAACTTCATACTAAATACATGTTCTCAGGTCGCAGTATATCAACAACGAGAAGTTATTTTTACTTGATATGTGGTATGATGGTGTTTCTCAGCCTGAGAAATAGTATAGTTAGGGGTGCACACGGTACGATATCGTCGGATTTTAGGCATATCGTTATCGTTATCGTACCGTCGAAAATTTGACGATATTATCGTATATCGTACCGTCCATCTAAGCACCCTACGGTACGATAACGATAATTATCGTCCAAAAAATTGAGGCCAACGGTATGATATTGACGATATTAGACGGTAAAACGATATCGTCGAGTATTACCTAATATAGAGTATTACTAATCAAGGGCACGGCCGAGTCACTTAGGCTTACACGCCGGCTGCAAGCACCAATATAATCATCAAATTCAGCACCACCACAACGCGCTGTATCGCTCAAAAATACAATAAAAGATAGAGTAGCCTCTATTTCCTATCTAGACCTTGCTCTAGTAGTCTCTAGCGTCGTATATTGAGTGCGGTTATATTGCAGAGGTTCTAAGATCAGCCACCTCAGACCCCAACACCACCACAGTCCACAATACACTGAATCGCTCAGAAATACAATAAAAACCAAACAGCCTCTATTTCCTATCTCAGGACTAGCTTCTGTACCATTTTAGTCCCTATACCCTATACCCTATACCCAAGAGACCCCACATTTTCAACGTAACTCTGCAATATAAAGCCTTTACCACACTTTTGAATTTTTACCACCCATACCATCATTCTATTCAATATAGCTTCATCACGACCTCAGTGTACAAATACACAGCGTAATTATCTAGCTTTGAATTATGGATACAAAGATAACGTCCTAATTAAAGACCAATATCCTAATTATCCCACTCAGACTACTCTCTTTTCTGATACACTTGATACTATTCAGACAACTCCTGATTCAATCCTCCCATCAGAATCAGCCTTACAGACTATTCTACCAGACCCTAATACATCATCATACCTAAGTATAGTCTCCCAACCCTCAACTCAGAAACAACCTCACAAAACTGCTCTATCAACTCAATGGTTATAGGGCCATTTTGATATTATATTAATTAAGCATCCCTAGACCACTCGTGCCAAGAAGCCAATAGATACAGACCGTCTTATCCAATATAAGAAGTACAATTAGGAAACATCTGACTCTGTTAGATCAGGATCGTCTAAGAACATAGAGCTTCATCTATATACCCAACATACTCTCTCTGAGCCATCTTCCTTATCTTCTGATTCAATTAAACAACCTTCGATCATCAATTCCTTCAATATAAAGCCAAAGCTATCAGTAGTAGCTTAGTTCCAGGAGAATATTCTACAATAGATTATCAAGGAAAAGATAGCCTTTACCACTATTAAGTCACCCTCATTTCGCCAAATATTCATAGATCTACCACATCCAGAGCTTAATACAGCTTTATTTTCACAAACTACATTAAAACAAAGACTTAAGGCAGAGTTTCAGCATCAACGTACATAATTAAAGATAGAACTTGCCTCAACATACAAGTCTATTGCACTTTCTCTAGATATATAGACAAGCTCAAACAACATCTCTATTATCGGCATTATCAGGCACTGGTTTATACCAGACTTCCTTTATAAGAAAAGGATACTTAAATTTACAGAGTTGCAAGAGACTTATAGTAGTAAAAATATTGTATATACAGTATTTGATATACTATAAGAGCTTAATCTTGAGAAAAAGCTACTTATAATTACTAGCGATAATACAAGTAATAATAAATCGATGGTTTTAATCCTTTATAATCTTTTGAAGGCCTAGTACCCAGAGCCTCAGTTCCTCAGTCTTAATAGTTATATCCGCTGTCTTACTTATATTCTGAATCTTATTATAAAAGATATCCTTTGTACATTGAGATCTGGTACTGTCTATAAAGCTTCGGAGATCTGTAATCACTTAAATAATAATGATCTTTTATCTGAGACTGCTCTATCACATATTTGAATCCTTGCGATATAGATCAGCCAAAGTAACCAACGACGAGCTTCATAGAAAAGTATATATACTCTTATAAAGCTTTCTGATCGATATATTCTATGTAATGTTGATATACGCTGGAATTTAACTTTTTTGATACTAGATACTGCCCTAGGAGCGAAACCGCAAATTAATCAGTATCTTGAATTACAGACTGAGCTTCCTCAGTTCACTAAGCAGGATTGGTATTATCTCTTGCAGGTTCATTAAGTCCTCAAGCAATTCTATAATTTAACGCTATTTGTGTTACAAAAGCATCCTCAGATAAGCATAGCTATCCCTATTTACTACAAGCTTTATAACTTGCTTAACCAGGGAGCTGAGAAGCAAGGATTATTTACAGATATAGATGACGATATTACAGTTGTAATACATCGTGGTCTTGTTAAGTATCAGAAGTATTATGCCTTTATAGATAAGACTGATGCTTATTATACTGCATTAATTCTGGATCCAAGGATAAAGGAAGATCTTCTGCTTCGTAAGCTATCTGGTAATAGGGCTGGACAAATGATTGTTGATTCAATTCGTGAGAATATACATCAGAAGTATTATCATAAGTCAGTTAATAAAGACTTTATAGTCTCTGTTAATCCTATATTGGATATCCATAATAACCCTGAGGTTAGAATACTACGGCGATTAGCACCTATTGCCAGAAAGACAGCTGGATCTGATATCAATAAGTACTTTACAACACCGTAAGTTGATATTAAACCATCCGGGGATCAAGAGTAGTTAGCTAAATGGTGGCGGGATCGTCGTGATAGTATACCTCAGATGGCTGCAGCTGTACGGGATTATCTTATAATTCCTACATCTGAGGTATCTGTTGAACGTCTATTTAGTACTGGTCATGATCTTATAAAGGTTCGACGAACATCGTTACGTACGGATACGATGCGAATATTAATGTTGATGGACAATATTATGTAGTATATAGAAGCTAGTCCTAGATAGGAAATAGAGGCTGTTTAGTCTTTATTGTATTTTTGAGCGATTCAGTACATTGTGGACCGTGGTAGTGTTGGGGTCTGAGGTAGCTGATCTTAGAACCTCTGCAACATAACCGTAGTCAACACGCAATTATTATCAACACACAACGCTAGAGACTACCGGAACTAGGCCTAGATAGGAAATAGAGGCTACTCTATCTTTTATTATATTTTTGAGCAATACAGCGCATCGTAGTGGTGCTGAATTTAATAATTATATTGGTGCTCGCGGCCGGCGTACAAGTCCGAGCGACTCGGCCGTCTCGGCGGGCATAGCGGACGTACAGGCTCTCGCCCAATTAGGCTTAGCATGACCGGAATATTAGTTATTCCGGCCGAGATCCTATTATTTTGTAATAGCGTTATATCGGGCCGCTTCATGTAGCAATAAATTGCCACAAATCCAAAGTATATAGATATAATAGCCTATAGCATAAAGAATAATACTCTTTTTGATTAAGATTTCCTCAATTACCATACTAATTTGTATGGCAAGCAGAGGAAAGTTGTTTTGCAATAGTACGCTACTGTATCTATTGCTGGCATAAATATAGATCAGATGAATAGTATTAACATGGTGCATATATATATATTGAGCACGGAGGTGTGTCATGCCGTAAATAGAGACCTCCTATTGGTCAACTTCGATGACTAAGGTCAGATGACTACACTTGGCATTATCGCAACGATAATATCATACCGTCGGGTCTTTATCGTATCGTACCGTCAAGACAACAATATTGACGGTACGATAAACGATAAATATCGTAAAAAAATTGAATTGACGGTACGATAACGATATCGTACCGTCGAAAATTTTTCTCTGCGGAACGATATCGTACCGCCAGCGACGGTACGATATCGTTATATCGTTTTATCGTGTGCACCCCTAAGTATAGTTTAACTAAGAGTTAGATTAGATGATTATTTCCTTGTATTACCAGAAATACTTTCCGGTCCAGTGACACAAATATATATCTCTACGATATGATACCTTAAAAATTCCTACTGACGTGATAAATCTACTCAGAGAGCCAAATTGTGTACTACGATAGCTTTAGACGTAATAATAAGCATTGAGTGTTGAAAAATCAAGTTGTAAAATATCGCATTTAGTATGGTGTTTTGAGTGTCCAGGTCGGCCGGGTGTCCAGATCGGCCGGGAATTACGTTAATACTCGACGATATCGTTTTACCGTCCAATATCGTCAATATCGTACCGTTGGCCTCAATTTTTTAGACGATAATTATCGTTATCGTACCGTAGGGTGCTTAGATGGACGGTACGGTATACGATAAATATCGTCAAATTTTCGACGGTACGATAACGATAACGATATGCCGAAAATCCGACGATATCGTACCGTGTGCACCCCTAGTTCCAGCCAGGATATCGCGCAGAATTAATGTCGCCGAGCCAATGAGTAAAGCGCCAAGCCAAAGGATACCAAGGCGAGATTCCCGATTTGAGAGAAAAGTGGCCAACGACCATCCCTTTGTCGAAGGTGTTGTTGTATTGAGAACCGCCAATGTCGGATTCAACCAAGCACTTACGAGGTTACTACACCCTTGCACAATCTAGTCTTACTTCCTAATATAGTCAGGAGCACATCTGATATTATTATCAATCTTGGTGATCTAACACTTTCGACCATCCCACCTGATCAATCAATGCAGAACCTGCTTTCATTTTGCCAACGTATCGCTACACAATGGTGCGCAAGATGGATTGGTCTTTGAGGAGAACCAACGTGCATGTGATTTGCGCACAATTCTGTGCCTCTTAAACGATATAGTCTCATATTCCTCTTGCTTCAAGGGCATTTCGTAACGTCTTTTGAAAGCCAAAGACGTGTTCCGGTCCTAGCATGGTGTAATGGGCGCCTCCAACGTCGTGAAAGCGCGGTGGCGATCGTGAGAAATCTTTCCATTGACTCAAATGCTCACTTACCCATTGAGCTTTTGAAGAAGCCGCTACCGCCAGAGGATTGCAGTAGAAGACATCTATTCCAGCGATAGAACTGACAGGATCGTAATCAACTGCCATGCTTTGTAGAGCAAAGGCCAAGCAAGCCCATTTCGTGATAGCTTCCGGTGAGAGGGCCAGTTCGGCTAGTCGATTCTCATCGGCTTCCACCATCACCTTCGTCAGGGTATCTTCCCGGGTAGCATCTTTCAGCTCTACTGCCAGCTCCCGCGCACGATCCTCGGTAATGAGATCTAGAAAGTAGGAGAGATGGAGGAGGCATTCTCTGTAATCTAGCTGACGCATTCGAGCCTTGATATGGGGCGGCAGGTTGAAGGAGCCAAGGAAGCGTACTTCGTCTCCATTATTCTCCAATACTTTGCCTACTTCAAACGCCAGCATAGTACCATATGAATAACCTGCCAAGGCATACGGTCCATATGGTTGCTCTCGTTTGATGGCGGCATGGTATGTGCTAACAACCTCTTCAATGGACGCAAAGGGCTCTTCACCTTCATTGAAGCCACGAGCGCGCAAAGCATAGACCTTCCGGTCTGCCAGGAATTTTGCAAGGTTCAGGAAAACGAGAACCTCACCCACTCCAGGATGAACGAGCCAAAGCGGTGTTTTCTGTCCCTGGGACTGCAATGTAACTGTGGGGCTATACTCGCCGGCTTTTTGATGAGTCTGCTGGAATTTCAGTGCACTGGCTAAGTCGCGGACAGTGGGATTCGTCATCAAGGTTATGATGGGGATTTCTTGAGCGATATTTAGATGCTCTTCTATTTTCTTCTTCAGTTTGATGAGTTCTACCGAGGTGATTCCCATGTCGAATAGCGAGCACTGTACATCGAACTCCTCTTGGGGCAATTCAAGAGAAAAAAGGAACAGATCAAGTAGTTTCTCTTCTAGTTCATTTGAAGGATTGGCGCGAGCCGTCTTCCGGTGCAGCTTAATCGATTCCGAGTTAAGTTCTTGATAGGATTTATAATCGCCTTTCTCAAATGCCGACTTGATTTTGGACCGCGATAGTTTGCCCAAGGCTGACTTTTGCAACTGTAATTTATCCACAGGAAGAACTTCCGGTCGAGCACCGGTGGTCATCATGGTAATCTTGGCGATGGCGTCCGCTGTTTTCGCCCGCGCGACGTTATCATCGGGGGCATAGCTTGGCAGATACACCACGCAGATAATCTCTGTGTCACCTCCTGAGGGAAACGAGGAAAAACAACATGTAAAGCTAGGGACCAGACCAGGTATTTCTCCTGGCTGGTCTAGCGCGGTTTCTATCTCCTGCGGACTGTATTTAACGCCGTTTACAATCATCGATTCTTTGGCTCTTCCAATCATGTGGAGATTGCCTTTGTCGTCGACGGAAGCCAGATCGCCGGTCTGGAACCAACCATCACTGGTAAACGATTGCTCATTTGCTGTTGGATTGTTGAAGTATCCCTTGAAGAGTATCGGCCCCGACAGTTCAAGATTTCCAACGGTTCCACTGGGCGCGATGATATTTTCCGCAGTACGGATTCTCATGTTCAAGCCTCTTATACATTTCCCTGCGGATGCAAACTCAAGACCTTGTTTGATATCATAGCTAGGAAAGTCCAGATTATAGATGGCACCGCCGCAGGTCTCCGTCATTCCGAAGCCCGTAGCAATAGTACTCTCTGGAGCGCCGTATCTAGTCAGCAGTTTTACCACTGCAGCGCCAGTTTTGGTGACATTTGCCTCGCCACCTGAGGCAATATATCGGAGGCAGCTGAGGTCCCAGTCATGTGTGGTACAATGGTTTCCATGGTCCTCGAGCGCGGTACGAATGCGAGCAAGGAAGAAGTTCGGCGCAAAGGTACGGGAAACGCGATGGCGGTCTATGATATCGAGAAAAGCCACGGGGTGAGACAAGACATCCGATGCATGCACATGGACCTGATCTTTATGGGCAAAGAGGGCCTGAAGATGAATTTCCACAATGGCTGCAACATGATCACAGTGGACCCAGTTCAGAAACGAAGTATTTTCCGGTAATGGAACCACTTTATATTTGCTATCAAGTGCCAGAAAGATCTGCTGATGCGTGAGAATCACGGCTTTGGCGTGACTAGTGCTTCCGGAAGTCAACATCAGTATGGCAATGTCGTCTGGCTTAGCGTTGCGACAGATGTTGCGCAATTCTGAATCTGGGGCTTTATCCACAGCCAACGATTCGAGAGCAATGGGCGTGATGGCATCCTGTCCTCCGAATTCAAACATCTTGTTGGCTGTCGTCAGGCAACTGGGCTCTTTGAAAGTGGTAGCCAGGTGTGTCAGATGTGATATACGTGCTGAATGATTGTTGGATAGTGTTGTAGACATTGCTGGGATACATCCGGCCAGACTGACAGCCCAGAACCAGACAATGTTTTCCCAGTGTGTATCCAGATGAATGAGAACCACTCGGCCTGGAGAGAAATCTGGGCGGCGGCGAAGAGCCCAAGAAGCCTTCTGAGCGTCTTCCAGCAGCTGACGATAGGACCATGAGTGTGGTTTGGTGGTATTTCGGAGCGGATAGCAGACTATATGACCACTGCTTTCCTGGTTGGCGGCGGCCTCCAGTAGGAGTGTTAGGTTTGTAAACGTCATTTAGGGCTCAGAATACCTAGATACAGATGTTTATCCAGCTAGGGAACAATGATAGAAAACAGCGGGTTACTGAAATTTCAACAAATTTGTATATCTTTCCATAGACGGTGAAGATGAGTTTGAGGATGTGGTGGCTGTATGTCTGCATGAGCCTTGCTTCTTGATATGAAAGTCTCTGCTGGTCTCAAAGTGCGTCGTGTAACCCCATTTAACCCCCCTTGTCAATCGGCATTCCAGGCTTAGTAGGATGGCCCCTGCATGCATTTGACGCTTGCAATCAATTTATACCCCACTTGGTTCCTGTATTCTTCGTCTACATTCGGTGTTGGGGCTATATCCAAGGGTACAAAGCCATGAACGACGGCCTTCTTAGACATTATTCCTCTGGCTTAATTCAAAACAATCATGTATGACCTTGAAAGGGTAAATTGTATACCTTCCCCCTTGTCCATACACAGCAGTCTGACCGTCTACCGCAGATTATCATCATTGGAGGAGGGCCAACCGGCCTCGCAGCAGCCATTCGCTTAGCTCAAAACAACAAGCTAAGCCCGGTCATTTATGAGCTTCGCAATCCAGGAACTGCAAGTCTAGGTGGCTCGCTGGGAGTTCCCGCCAATGGTGTACGAATCCTGCACCGTCTGGGTCTCTGGGATAGCATCCTTCCGCGCAGTGTCGATATCACAAAAAACGTCGTACACTCCACATCTGGCAGTGTTTTGAACGAAGTTGATGTCGCTTCAGAGGCAAAGACCCAGACAGGCTTCGGTTATCTTCGCATTAACCGCGTGGATTTGGTCCAGTGTTTGCGCGATGCTACGCAAGAATACGATATCCCGATTCACTATGACAAAGAGATCCAATCCATCGACGATCTCGGGGATTCCGTCACGGTCGCCTTTACTGATGGCACTAGTGATACTGGCTCTCTCCTACTGGGCTGCGATGGAATCCACTCCTCGGTACGCAGAATACACGTCGATGCAGAGATTGCGCCAGAGTATTCAGGAATCTCCGCGATATCTTCCATTGTCGACGACGTGACAAATCGAGATCCTAAGGACACAACCTCTTTACATTCGACACTCACACCGCATGGTATGCTGGCGACTGCGCCATGTGCTGCCAATCAGATCTTCTGGTTCTTCAGCAAGGAGGTGCCTTTGCCTCAAGGATCGAGCTCAGCGGACGTTCGTGATGGCTGGATGCTTCACCGCCAGAACGAACTGGCCGACTGTCGAAACTCACTGTCCAACGTTCTAGATTGTGTACAGGGGAAGTGGGGAAAATATTTGCGGCAGCTTGTGGACGCAAGTCAGGACGTACATTTTTATCCACATTATCGCATACCTCTCGGTGGTCGGTGGTTTGTTTCCTCGGATAACCCACAGGGATCGCCGCGGGTCTTGTTGCTCGGAGATGCCGCGCATGCCGTGCAACCTCATGCTGGACAAGGTGTGGCCTTGGCACTGGAAGATGTGGTCCTTCTATCTGGACTGCTGGTCCAGTACCAAGATGGTGACCACGCAAGCCTGCAGGGGGTATTTGACCGGTTCAATCAAATTCGTCGTCCGCGTATACAGCGCATTAACGAGGTTGCAATGCGTAATGGAAGGATGCGTCGTAATCAGTCACCGTGGGCAGTATGGTGCAAGGAGTGGTACATGTGGACTATGCTACGTATCAATCGGTTTTGGGGCATGTCTATGTCGGGTGTATTGAATGGGGATGTCCTGTATGACGTTGAGAAGGAGCTAAAGCAGGTAAAACCGATAGAGTTGAACTAGAACTGGAAGTCTGTAGTAATATATTTTTCACATCAACCTGGAACTCTTTTGCTGAAGCCAAGTACTAGATTCACAAATATCTTAAACATCTCGCGGTGTGGCCAAAAGATCTCCTTAACGTGTGAGAACATCATGACTATATCAACGACTACCGAACTGGGGTGGATAGGCATGTCAAATTAGGGCGAAAAAGGCTGAGCGTTTGCTAATCTCCAGAAATTACTATAGGGCTTGGAAACATGGGTCTTGCCATGGCATCAAATCTCCAAAAGCATCTGCATTCCCAGGGCCATTCGCCATTGCGCATCTGGAATCGTACGACCAGTAAAGGCGAAAAAATCACGAACCTCGGGGGGGATCCAATGCGAGACCATAGCGGGATTGATCAGCCATTGTGATATTATCTTCATATCGGTAGTTGCGATCTGCATCTTAAGTCTACTTGAATGTCTAATTTGAATATTCTAGCTAAACAATGACGATACATTGCGAATCGTCCTTAAAGATATCATCCACACCGCAAATCTGACAAACAAAATATTCGTGGATACCACAACCGTTCATCCAGATACTAGCAAAGATATTTCTGCCAAATTGAAAATGGAAAAAGCGTCTCTAGTCTCAGGTATGCTTTACGGTCCTCCACCATCCTTTTTTCGCCTATCCTAATCCAAAAAGCCCCTGTTTTTGGCTCCGCTCCAATGGCTTCAGAATGTAAGGTTCTAATAGTTGCTGCCGGCGAGCCTGACTCTATCCGGAACATATCCCCTTACATCAAGGGCGTGATAGCGCGTGATATGCTTGAGGTGGATGAACGCCCGGAAAAAGCATCTCTGCTGAAAATAATTGGGTGAGAAGGCTTCCGCTATTTTCCCTTCGGTCCAATGCACGACTAAGCGCAATTCAATAGGAACTTTCTCGTTTCTGGTATGACGGAAATTGTCGGTGAAGCACATGTCTTCGCCGAAAAAAGTGAGATGGACCACGGAATAGTTGAAAAACTGTTGGAAGCCCAGTTTGGACCTCTCCCGGTCATGATTTCTAGGCGATTGACCCAAGGGGTTTATATTCCACCCAAAGGTCAGTCTACGCGACATATTGTAGGAGCGTACTGACACACTGAACTCTTGACACTAGGCGTAACCCCGTGGTCAAATTTAGATCTAGCTCTGAAGGATACTGGGCATGCCATTGACTGCGCAGGAGCGGTGGGAACCAGGCTGCGAGTTGGGGAAGTCATACAAGATCATCAGCAGCGTGCCAAGGCCTATTCCCAGGAGCAGAAACGGCAATTAGACTCGGCAGCCTTATACGGTATCATTAGATGCGATGCAGGCTTGGATTTCGAGAATGAGTTTGTGAAGCAGAGGGATGCTTAAAAAATATGTGTGGTATGCAATATGTTTTCGACTTGTTGCAACCAGAAGTACATCCTCTAAAAAGAAACATGTATACTCACCGCTAGTCAGGTGCAGCTAAAAAGTGTTAGCGAGACGAAAAACTTGCAGGATGCCTGTGAGTTCGTGTAACATTGTACGCCGTTATCAGGGCGAAGAATGCATATCAGGTTACATCCTTCTCTGCAAGATTAATTCACCGCTACTAGAGTGCTTCGACAGGTCACAACAGGATGATATGCTCTACAGATCGTGTCTGCATAGAATTTATGCATCAAAAGTGTTTTGTATAATGTGGGAGGTCGGTTTCACAGTCCTACAATTGCGATAAAATTTCCTTTGGGCTTTACCCATATCTTCTTTCATTTTGTACGTGCTACCGGTGCTGAGAAATGGATCTGGATAAACTTGCATCTTCAATCCGTGATGCAACAGAAATTATTTCCAGTCAGCCCATTGACTCTCAGCAACTAGCTGAGTTGTCACAGGCTTGCGAGAGTCTTTCCGCAATAATCGAACAGCCGAGGTCACGATTAGAGAAGGGCACTCATGCGGTACCTATTTCAGGCGTCACGATGATTTTGTATTCACATTAATCTGAGACCCAATAGATGACCCCAGTAGTAGCTGTCAGGATTGCTATTGATATGAACATATTCAATTTTGTTCACAATTCCCCAAAGGATGAGTTTGAGGGCTGGGAAATTAGCTCGCAAGTGGATGGGGATCCGTTGCTTGTTTGTATGTAAACTCCCCTCTGTCTCATTATGAAAGCCTCATCATTTATTTAAACTCGACAGCGCGGATATTGCGGTCCTTGACAGCCTCTGGAATCTTCAGTGTCAGTTCGACAGGGACCTACAAGCCAGATGCCGTGATAAAAGACCTCGCTCAAGGTGGTTATCTAGAAAGTCGGATTTTGATGAACTTGTAAGTCTGAAAATGTCGCTTCCCAAAAGTTCTCACTAGCTGAAATATTTGCACCAGTGATATTCACTTCCAAATTTATGCAAAACTTCCTCAATACTTGAATCAAGCCAAATATGCATCCCCCTCGAACGCCTACGCAGGGCCTTTTCAATCAATCCTGAATACAGACCAACATTATTTTGATTGGATGGAGTCACATCCGATCCAGCTCGATGCATTCAATCGTACAATGCAGGCTGGTGCTATGCGCGACAATTCTGCGCGATGGACCCAGATATTTCCTATCACAGAAAAGCTGAAGATCTTCGAGAGTCAAATGGCTTGTACAGATAACGGTCTTGAATTTGTGGATATTGGAGGAGGCATCGGCCACGAGATAAAAGTATTGCTGGATTCAATTCCGTCTCTTCGAGGTCATTTTGTTCTTCAAGATGTATCAAGTGTCATCCAAGCTATATTACCGGAACTTTCGAGATCTACGGATATACGATCAGTACAGGCTATGGCGTACAACTTTTTCGAGCCACAACCGGTAGTCGGTGCGGATTTCTACTTTTTGGGCCGTGTTCTGCACGATTGGCCAGATTCTCAGGCACGAACTATTTTGCAGCACATCCGAGATGCGATGGACGAGGACTCAGTACTTCTCATCCACGACCGTGTGCTGCCGGACTTTGCCTCCAATGTTCATCCTACAGATGCTATCATGGACCTGAATATGATGATATTATTCTCATCACTCGAACGAACGGAGAAACAGTTTCGAGCGCTGCTTAGTTCCGTGGGGCTTAAGCTGGTTAATGTGTGGCGGTCCCCTACGGCTGGTGCTCATCGACAAGCGGTACTCGAGGCAATTCGGGCATAATAATGAAGCGATATACGAGGAGTTTTGGAAAATGAAATACCACTGAGATTACATATGACCGCAGATCGCTCACTTTTAGCTGTAATTTTGCACCGATATGATGGTTCATAGACGTTGCCATATCTACAGCGAAACAAAACATGGCTATGTTTCATAGTTGTAATATCTGACATGAGTTTGTATGTTTGCTGGGCTCAAAAATATCCTCAATTAGCTTCAATCCGATGTAGCACTCATTTATCTTAGAGGCTATCATAATTCATTTCTTGCCTTGCCATGGGTCAGATGCCCAGGTCCACGAACAGAAGCGAACATATAGTATCAGGCTTTGGACAGAGTTTGTGTGGTCTAAACCGACTGATTTAATGCTATTACTTTTAGCAGGGCGAAAGCATACTGCGAACTTCTTCCTTATCCATAACGTGTCATTTGGCTTTGGAATGGCCATGATGCATTTGATCAGAAGTCAAATGTGACTTGCGCTCAAAAGAGAGTTTCCACGTAAAACTAATCACATCTATGTCGATGAAAAGAACGGAATTATGATTTTATAGAGCTGTTAACGACTTTAAATCTTCAGTAAGGCTAACTAGCTTTGCTAAATTAATGTGATACTTTGAATGATCTCAGCTTATGAAGCAGCTTGAATTAGTCCAAGGGCCCCTTGCTGAAGATTGACCGTCATCCCTTGTACAATATCATCGCGAAATTTGTTCAGATCCAACTTGAGCTCCTCTTTCTTGATGCGATCACAGGTTAGCTCGCCCAACTTATCTTTGCCCAGCTCCTCTCTATTTGTGAACATTTTCATAGTGCCGTCTACCTTGCGAATCACGCGCATACAGAATTCCACTGAATTGGCCACGTCTTCTGTACTTAACTTTTCTCCACCTACTTCCACGGTTCCTTGGATAACTGGGATTATTCGATCAGCATCAAGATCCGAGATAATTGAGGTCAAATTTGTAAGATAAAGGGACACTCACTGGGTCGAAAAAAGCTGAAAGCACGATCAAAGTTTTCTTCGTCATACTCATTCAATACAGGACTCTCCAGCCCTGTAATTTGGGCGTATGCACTGGTTACCACAAGCAGAAACCTCGTATAAGACTCTCTGATCTTCTCCGAGTGCCAGTTAGCTGCTATCTCTTCGCTGCAGTCTCCTTTGATCGCCGCGCAGATTGAGGCAGAAGCAGATAGAGCTCCAGTCAATGCCAAATGTACTCCCGAAGAGAACAGAGGGTCGATGAAACACCCTGCATCTCCAACAATGCGAATGTAGGGACAAGCGTATTTTGTGGCGCTGTATGACCAGTCGGTGGCAGACTTGATTTCCGAAACAAGCTCGGCATTTTCGATTAGTTCAGAGATCATTGGGGCATCATGTACGTTCTGCATAAAGAAGTCCTTCGTATTCGGTGACTTCATCGCCTTCTTTTTTGCTGCGAAGCTGGTCTGCTGCATCACCAAGCCAACAGAAGTTGTGCCGTTATGCAGAGGAATAAACCACGCCCAACCAGTTCCATCTAAATGCGATCTTAGCATTTTGAGTGTCCTATCATGATTTTTGTGCAAATATTACCTTTGAGACGGGGAAAAACGGATCACCCTCTGCAGGGGTACCCTTCCCATATGTCCCAGCATCTTTGAAATATCCCCATGTAGCAATGTTTTTGAGACCCTCATTATACCTGCGGTTCTTCATGTACTTGGTACTGATGAGACCAGCTCGGCCACTCGCATCCACTAGGTAGTCGAACTTTATCGTACCACTGGCGCTTTTGTCCTTGAATCTCCAGGAAGCTGACACGGGACGTTCTGGCTCCGAATCACCATGGCCTTTCTGGCAGCCAATTGACTTGAATTCGACCGCGTTGACTTTGACTCCATCGAATACTTTGGCCCCACTATCTTTAGCGTGCTCGAAAAGAATTTGATCGCACTCAGAACGAACAACATTCCAAGCATGTCCTCCAAACGCAAGGAAGTTTGTGTCTATCAAGCAGTCAGTGGGTTGATGTCCAAGTTGTAGCACAATGTTGATTTACATGCTGCGGGCTTGCTGTTGTAGCTGAAAGATGCCCCATTCTACATTGATCTTTAGCTGGCTATCGTCTCATCTCTGGAATCCTGCTTCGATACTGACCTTATGTCTGAATCCGTGGTTTTCGAATTTTTCATAAACCTCTATGAATTTTAAGAATTCCCTTGTAGATGGTAGTAGGCTCTCGCCAATATGGTATCTATATCTCTTGTCAGCCCCGAGCTACCTTCTTGACTTGAGTATACCTTGACTGACCGAGGGAAAAAATCAGCTTCCAACAAGACGGTGGAAATACCTTCCCTTGCCAGAACTGAGGCAGCATAAGACCCGCCAGGCCCGCCACCTACTACCAAAACAGTGCATTCTTGTGGGATTGACATGCTGATCTGGATAGAAGGGCACTTTTTGAATTATTGAAATTGTTTTTGAGAAGAGTGTAGACCAGCATTAGGGTGATATCCTATGGAGATATCTCATATTTATACCCTGATCAATGTGGATATTCTACTAGTACCCTACTAGTGAAAATAACTGTATACTTGATTCTTTTTACCAATACATTTAACTAGTCAAGGCTGAGTCTTATTGGATAGGTTTGACATTCCAGGTGAGATTCCTTGCTTGCAGTCATAATGCTGTGAAACGCTCTTACTGCAGCTTTCTGAATTCCGTGCTCCTTGCAGGTTTTATCGCTGTGGTTGACAGTTCGTATACTAAGCCACATATGCAAGAAGGAAATATGGGATCGAGATTTATCGTTGAAATAAATTCAGCACAATATCTTTACACCGCAAGTTCATCTGCCACGGACTTTCCTATATTTGGAACTTTGGAAAGCAACGGCTCCCTTGCTGGAAATTCTGCGCTACGCTCGTCAATCACGGCACATGTTTTGACGCCTTTGTTACCACAACTTTGACGCAGTTGGTCTAGACCACAAGTAACGAAGTCAGAGTAGCCAGCTCCCATACGCCTTTTGCAAAAATCTCGAAAATACTGGATTTATCTCTTCTCGCGGTTTCCTTCCCTTGAATTCTACCTACAAAAGCTGTCAGGTTCGACATCACGCACTTCCGCTTCCACGACTTCTTTCTAGTTGCCAAATATTCATCCTTGGGATCTGTAGATAAAGTCGCTTGTGGTTGAAATACGCGGTCACTATCATATTAACTTTGATTATCTCAGGTATTCCTTTGTGTGATTGAACTACGGTTTATCTTGAAGAGAAAAAGTTATTGAAGAGAAGATCATAACAAAACGAGTGATAAGTACTCTAATTTACCTTTCTATTTTCTTCAAGAGGACATTTATTCCCAAGTACGGCACGTTGTGCCTCTTGATTTTGAGGTTCTCCGGCAAGGCCCTCTGTAACTTGATCTCGAAATGAAAGACCAGGTACGCCAGAATGAGCCGGAGCTCATCCGCTGCAAAAAAGCGCCCTGGGCTAGATGATTATAAATAGCACAAATTAGTACATTAGACCTCCATTGTTGGCAGAACGAAGAATACAAAAGTAGAAGAGACTTACCAAACGTGTTTTCCATCTCCAAACTGAAGGTAATGAGGATTTGTAGAAGTATATCTAAACATTTCCGGCGTCTTAGAGCTATTGGCAAGTTCATAGAACCGTATACCATCAAATTCAAAGGGGTCTTTCACGTATCCTTCGTCAAATAACATTGGTGCGTTCGGTGTCATGAGAACTGTCCCCTTTGGAATATGAAGACCAGCCTTGAATCGGAAGTCTTGCTTGACAACGCGAGGTGTCCCGGCATGATCAAAGCAGTTATAGCGATGTGATTCCTTTATGAAGCTGTCCAATACTTTCATTGAATCAATTCCTTCCTTGGTCCAAGTATCATTGTTGGCCCGAAGAACCCCGATGACCTCTTGTCTGATAAGACTAATATATTTTGGTCTTGTGGCAAGCTCACAGAGACACTGGACAAGAACCACAGTAGTGTTAAAGCTAGCTCCGAAAGTATTTGCAGCAAGCAATTGGGCAATGTCTAGCTCATTCAGATTATAATCTTTCTGCTTCTGGGTCCATCGCCAGAACCAATCTGTTAAGTCCTGGCAGTATGATAGTCGTTTGGTTAGCTCGTATATCCGCACCAAAGAAAGAATCCGGCCTGTCCTGGGCCAAAGCTGCAAAGAAAGGACATGAAACTCACTGAAGGCTGCTTTCCTGCCTTTTCCCTCTCCTCTGATTTCATCTTCCGTGTATTTATCAAATTAAGAAAGAGCTTTTGCATCCGATTTGATAAAGTCACAACATTGGATGACCGTGCTATAATACTTTTCCAAGAAGAAGTCAATACCCAAAAGATCGAAATTCACATGGCAGAGCTTACGGTTTTATGAAGTCGGGGAATCTGCGAATATATGGGCCTCCGACAAGCATTTCGGCTGTATAATCACAGAAAAGGTCGATGCTCTCTGGATTGCGACACTCGTCCCCTGCTAGTAACTTTGCAACAAGGCCCATCACAAGGCGGCTAGCGATCGTATAACAGTCGAATTGATTCCAGTCACCATCGCTCTGCAGGTGATTATTAATTTCTTGTTCAAACGAGTACTGAATTTCCTCGATGAAGCTTGGAAAGTATTCATCCCCTGACCTGGTGCGGGTTCGAGACCAGGTAAGTGCTTTACTCATCATTGAGCTCGGTATTTTATGAAATAGACCAGGAGCCGTAAATCTGGATTGAAAAAACTATAGTAATACCGGACATTAGTCTAGCTCAGCCTGGGATATAGTATGCTCTTACCCCTTGAATTGGAGCTGTGGAAGATAGGTACTCATCTGAAGCATTGAGGTACTCCCTGATCATGGCATCATTGCATATACAAACATTCCAGCCAGTCGGCGTGGCCACTTGAAACGCAAAGTCCCTGTGCTGTAGAGGTGTCAGTGACCTGTAAGACTCGAATGGAGATATTTGGAGCCGGCGATGAAAGGTCTTACGAGTTCATATCCTTCTTGAAGCAGCTGGGGTCCGCATGTACCCCAACGACGGGCATTCTTCCAATACTGAAAAGCTCCCCTCTCTCCCCACAACAGGAACATCAACCTAAGATTTCATCGTTTCAGCAAATTTCAAAAACTCCGCATGGGAACATCAATTATTATAAGAAATCTTGATAGGAGCATATATGAAGGGATACAAACCCATGATCGATAATATCGAAACCACTGACAGACTGACAGTACTGTCAAAGTTGCGCTTCCTATAAAAACGAAAGGGTTGTCGAGTAGAAAATAATACAAATTCCTAGACATTGACATGATCCCCAGCAATAAATTTAACTTGTTCATGGTGAAAGAAGATATCTGAACCTTGAAAGATTCGGAGAGCATGTACAAAGACCGAATAACATAAGTGGTTTCAGTCACCGCCAAAAATCAGAATACCGTTTCTCTCACCGCGACGCAAGGGCGCTACTGGGGTAAATTGCATACTTCTGGCGTCGTAACAGCTCACTCAAATTCCAATGCAAGTATGTGCGTGTAACCTGACATGACCTGCATACGGCAGCCGATAACCGCCACTTTGCAATAATTGGTAATCGGGGTCACCGCCCATGCTGCCGGCTACATGCAAGTCCTCCTTTGTCTTTTCTCTCCTCTCCAGGAGGCCCATAGAGGAGGGTACCGTGACCAGTTAGCAACGCGTAAGTGGTGGATTAATATTATGAGAAGTGCTGAGAAGCTGATGATTATAATAGCTCGAGAAAGGGGTTAGTGAAGCCCTGGAGCTCTGTGACCCGGATTAATAGTAAGAATGCCTTAACTGTAGGGACCGGAGTAGGGGGGGTGAAAAAGAAATTTAAGGGGGTGTTGGTCAGAAGGAGGTCGAGACATGCGACGTACAGGAGCGAAAGCGACTGACCACGCTAATCAAGATTGATGGAGTCAAAGTCTGAAGACGACTACAACAACTCATCCGATATGGTGTAGCGGCTAACATTACTGTTTCTCACGAACACAAGACAAACTGTACATGTACTCTAGGCATTACCAAATATTGGAAGTGGAGGCGTCGGGTAGTCAATTTCTCTGATTCGCAGCAACGCTCAACCCCACGATCAAGGCACGGCCATCTCGATGAATACCGGCATTTTGTGCAAGTCGAACCAAAAGTACAGTTAGAGTCCATATACGCCGGGCGCTGTTGTTGATTCACGCAGCAGTAGGAAATATGGCAAAGGCTTGTAGGACTATAATCTCGTCTGTCTCCAAGAGTCCTGCGCGAGCTAATGCTTGCTCAGACGCGAAATTAAATTTCTGAATAAGACTGACTCTATCACAGCCAAGTACCTGTAGGCATTGCTCTGGTGACAGACTGACCACGACATTGAAATATACGGCCATCATGAGCGCCTCGAGCCCTTTTGGTATGCTCCCACATGCTGCGAAGCCTGGAACACGAGTGGTTCCACGCTCGGGACGTGCAAAATTTTGATCAATTTGTCGCAATTTTGTTGAACATTTGCCAAAGCGCGGGAACCCTCTCTCGTGAAGGATGTAGTTGTGAAAGGTTCTGCCCAGTACAACCGAAGGGTAAAATGCTGGCTTGATTTGTCCTGTCCGTGTCTGATACAGCATTTGTGTCCCACATGTCTGTTTCTTCCGGTTCTTCTTGCAGAAGGCTCTTGTGATCTTCGGCCTAATAGGATGGTCGACAAAGTTAAATGAGCGAGTGACCAATAGGGTAAGGTGACTCACCTCCTCGTCCAAACTGGCCCAGTAATTGCCGATCATATATCTACTTCTTCCATTCCCCATGGCCAGTCTTCCAAACTCCGTCTCTAAATTAGGCATTTCATCCGCGGACTCAATGGAGTCGCTATTAGAAACAGACTCAATTTTGTCTTTTGTCGGCGTTCTGGTTGACGATCCATGAGCTGTGAGAGGCGGTTCGATGGCGATATCTAGACGCCTCTGCATGTTTTTCGATAACACCTTCAAGATGCTGGACTCTCTCGAGTATGGCAAGGGAGGGCGGCTGTCGGGTAGATGGGCGTCTTGGCACAAATAGGCACTCGACACCCTGTGTTCGACAATTAGTGCATGGATAGTCTCTGTCGCACTTTCTCTTCTTCCCGCGGCACGACAAACACGAATATGGATTCTGCCGGGTGGGCGTAGGTGAGGCAGCAGACTCCCCAGGATTGCGATTCGCCATGACCGGCAAAGACATTTCTCACTCAGTTACCTATAGTACCAGATCGTATTAGGCGGTAACAGCGATTAATAGCACGTAAAACGCACCGATATGCTGAAACAGACGGCAGTCTTGAACGCTCGGGGGAAAAGAGACCCTGCGCGGTTGTGGCGAGGTTAGTCGAACCTTTTTTCTCTCACAATCACCATGCTTTTGCAAACTACCGTATTGGCCAAGGCTTCAGCATTAAACTTAATTTCTAGCCACCAACCACGATTACGGTGAGAGACATGGCGCTGAACCATGGAATTTATTTACCTGCAATGTTGACCACCACTAACTAACTAGACGAGGACGTGAATTATATAATCAATGATGTCATGCAGGCAGGAATGCTCAATCTCACGTTGACACGGAAAAGTTGGGAGAAGCGAGCAATATTCATTTCCAACAAGTACCTACAAGCAGACCACATCAATAGGCATCAGAATCTAGCTTCCTTCGTCTCACTCTTCCTTTGCGTGAAAATACCTCGTACCATCAGTATGCCATCTTGCGCGTACCATCCGACGCCCAGCCGTGAAAACCGGAACGACCCGATGCCAAGCAAGAAAAAGAAAGCTACCTTTCACCCCAATTTTGAAAGTAAACGAAGAGAACAAAACCGAGCGGCGTGAGTACTCAAGGAAATCGCTTGTATAGATTGGATGAAAAACTTTCTAATCTCTTTTGTTGGTACAAGCAAAGTCAGCGAGCTTTTCATGAACGTAAGAAATGTTACGCTGATAAATTGGAGAAAAGAGTTCTCCAACTACAGAAAACGGTAGATGGTATGCGGTACGAAAATGATCAGCTGCAAAAAAGGATTTCTGGTCTTTTTTTTCGAAAATCGTATCAGGAAAGCAGCCGCCATACATTGCCCTTGTCTACAGAAACGCAAATTCGGCGAATGTAGACCGAAAAATTCATCAACCTTGGCGGGCCGCTGTAGCGATGATACTCAACGATCCAAATCTTACAGCATCATTGGTACAGCTTTCATTGGAGACCAATCTCAGACCTGTCAAAGACATACACAGACATCTGAATTATCCTTGAAATTACATAAGACTTCTCAGCCCGGATATCAACGATCGACTTCAATATCCTCGCTCGGGTCGGGTTCTTTAGACCCCTTTCAAGTTCACTCGCAAAATATTCCGTGGACAAAGTTTAGCGAAGACTGTATTTTATACAGTTAGTATACACACTTGCTCAAACAATGCGCTTTCTGATTTCCAACGCAGGTTTGTCCACGTTGTGGCCTTGCCTGATTCCAGGTGCCGTTAAGGGGGAAAACAATTCTGCTCTCAGTAGCTGGTTTTACTTCTATATGAGAGACACAACGTTGTTCTCTGCATTGACTTTCGGTGCACTTTCTCACAAACAAATGAATTGCTGTATGGCAGGAGATGCCAAAATTGAAATCACGCCGTTCGAAAAGCAAGTTCTCATCTTCTACGAGATGGAGTCAGCAAGAATGATCAACGAATCACTTCAGAGCAAACCACAGACTGTGACTGATACCCTTATTTTAAGTGCACTGTGCATGGCAAATAACAGCGCAAACAAGGTCAAGCTGGATCAGATTCAAGCTTCACCATTTACACCACCCCTGCGACGGCTGCAATGGCTAGATATATATGGAAGAATGTCCTCCAGCCCAGCTCATCAAGTGGGCCTTCTGCAACTCATCAATTTACGAGGGGGCCTGGAATGCGTGGAGCTTCCCGGCTTGGCTGCGATACTTTCGTTGTAAGTCTTTGGTCATTTATACGGCATCGTTCAGGATAACATATGGTCTTGTTTTTTAACGAAAACTGATCCTTAATGCGATAGTTCCGACATTTTGGCGGCAAGCAAAAACCTATCTCAACCAAGTCTTGCGTTTTGTCCACTCAGCAGCGACAATAAACCTGCCTTGCTGGGAGGTCCTTTTTTCCGATCACAGGAGTTGCGTGTCAACCTCAGCCACTTTCAGCAGTTGGCAGATGTATTTTCGGCACTAGAAGGTTACTTGGCTGATCTCGAACGACACCAGGCAAGCTTTAAGGATGAAACCTATCTTTGCAAATTAGCAGACCAGAGAAACTTCTCACAGCATTGTCTACTATCCTTGCCTCCAAGGCCGAGAAATAATGAGCTTCTACCGGGCGTTCATTTATTCTATGAAGCATTTCGGCTATCCGGGTTAATTTTTAGTTTTGGTGTAGTATTCCCTATGCCCTACGACGCTGCGCCTTTTTCGACTCTGGCCATCCTATTGAAGACTGAACTTCAATACCTTGATACGAACTCATACCAGTCATTACCTTGTACACGGAACATGTTAACATGGGTCCTCATTCTTGGAGCCATTGGAGCAGCGACTGAGGGTTCCGTAAGGGCGTGGTTTATCGCCCGGCTCAAGAACCTAGCTTTGAAAAATGGAATATCTGCATGGGATGAGATCAAGTCAATTCTGGAAAAAGTTCTCTGGCTGAACAGTGCCTGTGATTCTGCGGGACAACAGGTATGGGCGGAGGTGGGACGTTTGCGGTCGGTATAACCGCCTGTCTGCGCGGTGTAACTTTCTGGGATTGGCTTAACGTCCATCGGCCAATTAGTATACTACGCCAATTTGCCTGCCAAAGCGTTATTTGGGACTACGAGTACTTCTGCCACTACTTGGCAGCTTCCAGCGCATCAGAATTGCCCAATATCCAGGAAGATAAATGAGTCAGTAATCGTGTAAAGACCACTCGCTGCCTCCGTGCGCCTCAAAAGAGCAACTCACATCCTCAATCATCCATCTTTCTTGCCACGCTATACAACTATAGTTATGCCTAAAGATTTTTTATACGCAGAAGCTCAAAAACATAGTAAAATACTCTTGTTGAAACATTTTGGCTCACAGATTCCATTCTCGACGTAAAAGTCAGCGTACCACACCGAGGATCAGATCAACAGGGATGAACTGAAATCTGGTTGTCCAATACCCTTCTTTGAGGTCTACCTACCCTATGTAAATTTGATTCAGTTGTGAGGCAATTTCCACTCATCTGATCTGCTCACTACTTTTATGCTAAACTTCATTTACTTTTGTTGTTCGAACTTTCCACATCTCTTTGTTGCACTAACAATAGGTTTCCGTTTCTCACACCGCGACCATTTTTTATTCACTGTCCAATAGCTTATAATAATAATGCTCGGGATGACTCACACATTTCATGATTTGAAGCACCTCAATTAGAGTCGGAATTTGGGGCTGATAAAGGAGACCCAGTAAACACTGGCTGGCGAAAGATTCGGCAGTAGAAAATACTAGAAATAGTGTCAATAGATAATTTCTACAATGCAAAAACACACTCGCCACATAGCATAAGGGCAAGTAACTCACTTTAAGATACCAAGCTTACCTAGACTGCTACTAAGTTCAACAATATCTAAAGTAGCTTGCTGGGCTTCGTATAGGTACATCGGCATAGTATAGTCATGATCAACAGAAAATATGTCAGAGACTACAGATAGGTATATAAGAGTCCCCTTTACTACCATAGTTACAAATAGATGCAATAGATCTATCTGACTAGTAAATAAAGCAGGTATTCAACAACAAATGGCAAGTTTTTCTCCCTACCAGCGAACAAAGCCAGAGCTGATAGTCACAGAAAACTATTTAATTTACTACTATAAACACACTCAACTGCTGCTTACTATTTATATAATTAACAATAACCAGAAAATATCGTAAATAGAATCAGCTCGTGAAGAGAAGTAATACTATAATTATACTCAGCAGCTATCTCTTCAGATAGTAGTCTTCTATAGATAGCTTTACTATTTTAGAATTATACTTCTGAAACTTGAAGGTATGTATGAATCTGACATAATATCTGTTTGTTATTTATTAAGACGTATTATCTTTCTCACTCAGCCTACTATAAGCTCGTTAAATACTAAGGGCGAATTATGTCATATACTGACCACCCTATCTAGATAATATACTATCCAAAATATTCTTCACTATTCTTCTTTCTCAGTGCTGTTTAAAAATATAGACTCATGGCCATCTGCTATATACTCTGTACAGTTAATTTTATAAAGGTATTATCTTCCTATTAAACTGACCTGTATCTGTTAAAATAAGCCTCAGCGGCAGGGTCCGATCTGGTTACCATATGGTTCTAAGAACAGGAATATTGTTGGCCCTGTCGTTCTAACGCTCCAATATTTGGACCCATTTAGTCATAATGACAACAATTTTAGTCAGCCATCACTGAAAAGGTTGGAAAGCCTGAATAGGAATATGCGGGGGCCCTCAATACGTTAGTTGCGAAATTTTGTGATTCAATGCACCAATCAATTAATCGAACCACCAAGAATTCATACTTGCACACATGCGTTGTAATAACAATTATGACCTTGTTTTCGTTCCAGCTTTCGTCGCCGTTCGTATATAAAGTAATCCAGGCTTTCAATGCCATATTATTTGAGCCCGGCAATTAACAGACTAGGATTGCTTCAAACTACTAGTTCTGTACGACGCTTGAAGGTACTGGTTCAACCCAGATCATACAGCCCTTACTTCCAGTGGTGGGAAATGATTGGCAATGGCACATTGCATTGAATGGCTGAATTTGCGATCGTTTATAAATTTTCCCCGGTGGTCCTTCACATCTATCTCCCGCTAGAGTTGCTTCTGCCTGGTCAATTCGCAGTATTTAATAGTCATTTTTATTGTGGGACGGTTGATCGGAGCACTCCGCTCGACCATTAATGTTGGTAGGCCGTTACCTGGGATTACGTATGAGGCTATTAACTCACCGGGATGTTGAATCTTATTTGAATTCCTCATTCGTGCTGCTTTCAGGAAGGTCCAAAAGTAGAAGAAGCTGTCTTAGAAATATAGCCTCAAAGTCCACGCTCAACGCAACGACAGTCGCCGAGTGGGCAATGCAAGCTGGCCTGTGAAGAGTGCCGGAAGCGCAAGCTACGTTGGGATGGAAAACGCCCCCCCAGTGCAGTGTATGCATTTTAACAGTAATAGTATGTAAGGTAAGTCCAAAGCGGTCAGTCAGAGGCTCTCAAAAGGGCATTTTCAAATCGCTTCGGAAAAGAGCTGGTAAGACAAGCGTCCTAAACGATTCCAGTGTACTAATCTTCTTTTCCAACTACAGCAGATCTACAACATTGTTTTGAGGTAAGTAATGGTGAAGGCCTTTTGTCGAACGGCCAAAACAACTTACATGAACCAGACTCAATAATAAATGGTCATGATGTCAACTTACTTGTGGATCTTGGCTTACCAAAGAAGTCCAACGATTTAGCAACTCTAGGGTGTATACTATGGGATGAATGCAGCCAGGACCTTCAACTGATATCTGGTCTGGCACAGATGGATCTGTAAGCAATACTGTATTCAACCCCGTGGTGCGGCTTTTGAGTGTTATCACAATGGCAGAAACGAGACGTATTTCGAGCGGGTCTATATATTCTTGCCTTTTATACAGAAATGTTGATTGAGTTCCTGGGCCCGTAAGATAAACTTAAATGCATCATCAATTTGCTTGTAACTTGCTATGTAGGTATTAGCTGTGTTATTGCCAGTGTATGGATCAGGCCTTAGCGAGATACTGTATTAGTAGGCAGGAAATATTCTTAAGAGTCTATAGAAATAGTGTACTAGGTTAGACTCTGTTAACCTCTAGTAAGCTGAAGCATAGATTCTTATTATATTTTATAGGTTTCTATCCAGGTACTATTATATAAGGCAGATAAGTATTGGTTGTACCTATCGGCTGGTTCATTGGGATAATAGTATGTAGGTAGGTATCCAAGTCACCCTTGGTCGAGTGTTCATTTGACTTCATTCGATCCCCGGGTACCAAACTTTGTTTTTTTTTTCTGACGGGCTAGATGAATCCAGAAATGCACATGAGCGTTCTATGCGCGCTTTGCCAAGACTCCGTAGAACGGAAGTTGATGACGATCATTAGTAATGGACTTGGGGTGAACCTAGCTGCGTTACGGGATGGCAACTACGTGTGTGTGTGTGTGTGTGACACCCGAAGCAGTTTCACGAAATCAGACCTGCACCAGAGTGGATTTTTTCTCTAGTGTCCTCAATTTTGCTGTGCCTGTAAGGCTACCGGCTGCGATTGACCCAGCACACAGCCCTTGTAGAGGATTGCATTATAGATCAGCCAGTTCTAAGGCGTAGTCCATCTCGGTCTTGCGATTTTGTTCTAATCGACTCAAGCTAGCGGCTACCGAATAACTGCGCGGACCACGAGTGCGACCTCTTCAAAAGTGAAGGCTGTTGTAACGTTATCACTTCGCCTTCGCTAATGAAGGCCTAATGCCAGAGTATCATCAGCCTTTGGCAAGTTCGACATTTAAGACTTCAAGTGTCTGTCAAACCTATCTATGGCCCATTGTGTCCATCTCGCCACCAACGTGAACTCTGGACAAAGCAACCCCATAGATAAGCCTTACAACCTTTCGTGTCAAACATTTCCAATTTTGCGCGGCGTCTGGATTCAATTACCAACTCAACGGAAGCTAGATCAAGTAGCAGTGGCCACAAGTTGATACGTTTACCAGATCCCACTGGCTATATGTTTCTATGTGTGAACTATCGGAAATTATTGTCTTTCGTAGACCCAGACATGTTCTGGGATCATGAAGGAAATTTCTCGTTGGTAATTGCAACCAGGAATTGAGTTACAAGCATAAAACTGTCTATAAAGATTATTCCGTGCAAAGGTGAGTATTCGACTTGATTCAAAATCTTATATGCATATGATCGCGATTGGCACAACGGATATCCACATGCCAAAAATGACAAAAACTTTGGTCTCGCGCGGATGTTTTTGCTGAATGTTACGCGGGTGGGGTATGTAGTTCTGGATAAGCAACCTAACTTAGACCATCGTAAAATGATAGACCGGAAGTGTTGCCATTGAGCTCCAATGTTGAGATTCTTATTTTGAATAGTTATAATTATAAATCCGTTAGCCAAGAATCGTCTATACCTGCAATCGTAACCTTGAGCCAACCTCCCACGTCAATGATTAGCTTCAAATTTTGTATTGAATTTTTCTTATAGGCTCTAAGTACTCTGAAAACATTCTCTAATCATTTTTATCTTCTCTGGTTGTTGAGTTGTACGTCTGCAAAGTTGGTGAGTTATTGTCGATTCTGCCGAGATACGATAGCGGCGGATGGGAGTATGGAAAGGCCGCTTCCCTAGATAGGTGAATTTCGTGACCTACGCTAAACCTAATTTACTTTCAGTGGTTTGAATCGCCAATACCCGTCCAGCCAAGGCTTCCATAATTATATTTTTTTAATCAGTATAGTCATCCAAAGTTATTCTACGATATTGATATCCTAAGGCCCTATAGCTATAGCTTCGGATGAGAGTAGGTAATACGAGCTACTATAGAGCTAAAGACTTAGTAACAATTCCTACTCTCAAGAATAAGAACCTATTATTAGAGAAGTGTGAAGGGCTGTAACAATATTGATTCAATAAGAGCTAGGCCAACATGCTGTTTATAAAAGCTTAGAGAAGAGAAAGAGTAGAATAAGCAGAACAACAATAGAAGTAACGTACCACCTTGGGCCATAAGTTTGAAGACACCGCCTAATCGGGTAATTCTGCCATTTCACCACTCTATATTCAAATATATATATTGTGTAATGGTTACTAAGTTGTCAGGCTAGAGACCTGTGACTAGGCAAGGATATCAGACGGTAGAGATCAGATTGGGCAGTCGATACAGAGACTGATTCTTGAGAAGATCAAGAATCCAGAATACTTGTGGGATCTTAAATAAATTAGGGTTCGGGTGGATATCGATATGCAGGTGACTCAAAGGGGATTCGTCCATGAATCGGCCTCGAGAGTCCGGGGTATCGTATACTTCGAATCCCGTGACAAATAGGCAAAAGAACAGCTAAAACGTAAGTGTATTCTATAGAAACAGTAGATATTGATAGTCTTAGATGCTGGTTGTAAAAAACTAGGTATTGTAAGATGGGAATGCTCGCTGTGGCAGTCTGCGTTGGCAGACGGGTCGATCGCAAGAGGACAACACCACCACACTCGAAGAGTGCCGGAGAGAGAGAGAAGTAGACAGTGCGTGACGCTATAGAGATGCGACTAATAAGACATTCGAGTCTTCATGGACATGCGATATACCGATACCGTAACCTCAGCCTCAGTAACCTCCGCAGGAAGAATAATTCATAAGGGGGAACACACATGTTGTTATTGATACTATCGAACGAACGCTACTTATTCTTCCGAAACGATATGGCTGCCTTGTTACTAAGGCCCCAATCACCTGACTATGGGATACCGGTGTTGAGAGCGGAATTCCCCATTACAGTATCTACTATTTATAAACAGATTATATACGAGGATATATCTTTGCTGTCAGTATAATACTAGCTCCTGATAGCTGATTTTAGTTCTTTCTCTTAGATAACTAGGATACCAACTAGTATAAGGAGTATCAGAGGTTATTTTAATCAGTATTGATTCTATATCAGCGCTGTTTCTTAAATAATCAGTCTACCCTAGATCCTTAAGCCTAGGCTAAGTCTACTTCTAGACTTAATAAGATGCTGAGTAGGATAAAGCAAACTATAAAGCCAATGGGGGACGAAATCAGTCAGTATCTAGATGGTGGTATATTCTAACTTTTTGATCTACTTTTATTATGTTGTATTCTAATATTTATCAGACCTAATTAAAATAGAGCCACTATAGTACTGGCGAAAGAATCAGACCTACTTCCCTGCTATTGCCTAGCTTACCTGAGATATTCTATCTATTCCGGCTACTGGTGCTAGTGTTAAACGGCTTTTTAATACTATATATGATATCTGTTACTATCGATATGGTCGTATGAATTCTGACACTATCGAGGAGTATATGTTATTTCTTTGTTTAATATAATTTAACCTTCGGGAGGCAGAGATAAAGGAGCTAGAGCAGTATTTTACTCTACATAAGATTAAGGCGGCCAGAGAACAGGATACGGAGTATACAGAGAAGGTTAAGATTGATGGTATTAGTGATAATAAGGAGGAAAAGCTAGCTGTAGCTGAGGAGGAAGAGCCAGCTATAACTAAGGAGAGGGAGGAGATAGCTAGATTAAGTAGTCATGATCTTAATGAGCTACAGCCATTACAGCCTCTATTGCTATCTCAGCTATCCCAGATTCGTATATCAGGACGAAAGCGTAAAGCTAGGACTGACGATATTTTTGAGATTTATTAGATTTTGAATTTATTTACTTACTAGTCATTAATCACTGTCTCCTATATCTATACAATTTAATTGATAAATTCACAAATATGACAAACATCTAGTATCAAGAGCTATATTACTGGAAATCAAATCCTTGATATTACAGCCATAGGAATACAAAATTATGCAGTCATGTGAGTAGTAGCCTTAGTGGCCTGTTTGCCTTGTTTACACTAAAATAGGAACCCACTGGGTTCCCAAATGGGTTTTGGGTTATCACCCATAACCCAAAACCCATCAATGGGTTATGGTATTCGACCCAAAACCCATTTTGGGTTGGGTTGGGTTGGGTTGGGTCCGGGTTATAGTGGGTTCTGGCGATGCCTATATAGAACTATATATACTCTTGTCACAGGATTCATGCCAAAGAGGATAAGCCTTATTGAAAAGGCAATTAATTACTCTGCTTTGCGCTTGAATCCCGTGACGATCGGGCTTCGTTCAGCTACGCTATACTAGGGGTTCGTGCTCGATTCCACGTGATTATAGGGGTGAATGGCTTTGGACGAATGTCCCTTTATTCTTGAGTTTCTTTAAGAATCAGTCTCTGTTATTATTGGATTAAATCTATCTATCTATCGTTATCCTCTTAATTACTATCTAAGATCTTGCCTAATCACAGGTCTCTAGCCTGTCCCTTGGTAAAGTCCATGACAACTAGATATATAGATAACATTGGGTAACAGAATCAGCTTGGTAGGCTAATATAACTGCTCCGGAGTTAATATCCTTGAGAAAGACATCGAGGATAATATGACAAAGCTCGGTTTCTCTTAGGAACGCGTTCGTTGCAGTTGAGAATATGCTTTGCTTTTTCGGTGATGTCTCTTATAATTTCACGACCACGATAGGCCGCTAGTTGTCATTTTGGTAATGGTAATTGCTCTTGCATGAAAGTCTGGTCTATTCTATAATAGGGGCAAAACGCTATTTAACAAAGGTTACTGCTTTGGTAAGCAGGCTAATTACTAATTGCGAAGGAATATTTAGGCAATGTGCCCGACTAGTAACAGTGACTTTGTCGCGACATATAAAGAGGACGGCACGAACGCGACGCATCATCGCGCTACGATTGGTTGAAGTGCACGGACAAATTTGCGTAATGGCAGACCAGGTCGCTGCCGTCTACTCCGTACCGGGCGCTTTCTTATAGAGTGCACGGACGAAAAATGTGGAATGATCGACCATTCCCGAGGCAATAGCACAGTAGGAACGCCAAAAAAATAACGCTAAGAAATATGCCAAAAAAAGCATAAGATTAATGCAATTTGGGGGCTAAATACCCATGGCTACCCATGGGCGGGTAGCGATATTTCGGCCCATGGGCGACCCATTGCACAGGTCTATGTGGGAGCGGACGCCCGAAATTATTCATCTACGTCGATTGCCATATGTATTTCCTTTATGAAAAAAGAAAACGGAGACAGAATAACCAATTTCAGAGTACGTGGTGATATTGATGATAGTATTATATGGCACACTTGAATCGCACTACCGTCTGATAATATATAGTAACAAGTATTCGCTATACCTGCGGACGATCAGTGCTCACAGTACCCTTGACCTTTGCAGTGTCCGTCTCGCCTTCGCCCTTTTGGCTCTTGCCAGGCTCGTTGACGTATGGATTCATGGTGTCCGCATTGGAAAGCCCCTCCTGCTTGGATGACATGCTCCCATGGAAGCCCTTTTCGCCCATCGCGCGAGGCTAACAGGAATTAACGATGAGGTCGTCTGCTATAACTATTGGCTACTCACCTGGTCGTAGGGCTCAGAGGATCTCATGTTAGAACGTTGAACCTGAGTATCCTTTTTGCTTGATTGATGGGTCTTGTCTGCCTTAGACATATAGAATGCCAGAGGAATAGTGATAGCAATAGCGACCGGTAACCTATCATTGAAATGAGACTGTTAAGTTTCGACTACTAAAATTCAATCACCAATTGACGGGTAATATGCAAAGCTCACCAACGAGGCATTCCTTGGCTAGTCTGTCTAGTAGACGCAAACCGTTTCTGAATAGGGGGCTGTCTGTGACATCTTGGGGCAGTCTTAGCTTTCAAGGGCGAAACCGGAGACACACGTGAATGAAGGAAGTTCATGGCGATTGGATGAAAGGTATTATGCGGATGTAGGGAGAAACTCAAAGCTCTAAGATAGGTAAGGATTATGGAGTTTAAATAGCAGCTCGTAATATAGTACGCCTGGACAAGATCCCAGACATAAGTTCGATCCAGTTTTGGTATTACATCATTATGTTTTCATGTTCAATCGGTCTAGCAAAGCTAAAATCCAAAGGCACCAGAAATTAAGAATCTATAGCATATACTTAATTCTCTAATTTGCTACTAGCAACTGGCTGGCATGCTGTGACGTAATTTACGCATGCGAGACAGGCGTGGCGATTCACGGCTGTACTCCTAGTGGTAGATTTACCGTTACATTCACCTTCCTCTGCTCTACTCATTGACGGTAAACTAGGCTTATTGTTTCAAAACAGAGAAATAATGGACCGTTGATCTGAACGCAATGGTTGCGAACGCATCTGTCAGGGAGAATTTGCAGGCGGAATTTTCTGGACCCCTATCTTCCAAGGGAGTCGTAACGGAGCAAGGTGTATGGCAAGGCACACAAAAGTACTGTCTGGGAGGTCCAAAGACTCAAGTCATTCTCGACGAATATACTAAATGGACCAAGAAAATAGCTCTCGTTCAAACCAGTATTTTAAGTGGCGAAGATGTCAAAGGTGATTCAGAAACCTAAGAAATCTGCAAGCCTGCGGGCCACACTATTGGAAATCACAGTAGGCATCCACGCCTTTCCTATCGACGACTCAGGTATCTATAGTTACCAAGAATGGTGACTGTTGCGCAGTATCACTATGTATTGTTTCTTCTGGGTGGACACTAGAGTTTGGCAATGGCACGCCTACCCTTAGGTTAGATGTATGTGGGCGTCCTGTAGGATCGGAACGATCATGATGACGTCTCAGAACTGGGTAATCCAGGCATACTTATACGCCATCAAAGATGAAAGCAAGATTCACGCGGGAAAAACAGGAAAGAAGGAGAACATCATATCCAATTTGCTGTGAAGGAAGGCAAATTCAAGACGTGACAAAAATGCCGAGGTTCTGGAGATATGCTACCATCTTAAACCAGAAGTTTCGCTACACCGCCGAAATCGGGCAATTCTGCCAATTTACCCGTCGACCGTTTTCCCGGCAAACGCGACAGATCTCTCATATAATCCTGGTCCCTATCCTCAACTCAAATATTTTCTCCATTCATCTTCATTCACCCTAGTCACTCATTTATCTCTATTCACCTCTGTCATTCATTACCATATCTGCAGAGTCATTCGCTTATTCACACTGCGTTGCAGGCCAAAGAAAGGAAAGCCAAAGCACGTGTCCAACTTATTCGACGACTGCTGAAAATTCAACATTTATGATCGTCTGATCTAAATTTGCATGGTGCTTGTATTCGATACTAAAGAGCAAACTGCAGCACCTGCTGCGGGTATGGAAAGTATTGAGCAGACACGAACAACATGCAGTTCTTCTGCCTGATCTTCGTTCTGTTCCTGAGCCTGTGCACCTTTCCAACCATGACATAGAAGCCGACCTGCCACTGGAGCTTTAAGCTCCTGGACCTCGCATCACCCCCCGTCCTACCTTTCTTGTAAATATAGTTAATCCCCGAGACACTCCCTGCACGCTGAGGCGCCGGAACTCTAGTGAATTGATTCGATACTTTGTAGGTCTATCCTTGAAAGCTTCTCTTCCTCTCTTTCTTTTTTTCACAAGGAAGAAATCTCCTAAGTAAAAGAATTGAGATTGATAATGGTGATAGCATGGGCATCGTGATATGAACCAACACACGAAATGGCCCATATCATTCCAAATGCACGGCAGCGTGTTGCCAAAATTGACCACTCCGCTTATTTCCGTGGCAATTTGGTCGACGACTGTGACTGTAGTCTGCAAATATATTTATAACATTCAAAATACCTACAGGATGCAGATGGGCCTCTGGGCGAATATATTGGACTTTACTCCGCCAGTCATCCCGAAACCTTGCGCGTATCATCTGGATCAACATAATCGAGCGTGAAGGAGAGCTTAAGGAAAGAGGACCTTCTCCAAAAGTTGACTGCAATAAATCTGATGCTGGCCTTTGCAGTCGCACTTAAGTACAAACTTCGTTTCGAGCCAGATGTTGGAGACGATAATCTGGCAGGCTTATGCTATTGGCCGCGAAATCGAAAACCCCTTTGGTGATGATGTCAATGATCTTTCCCTCGATTCATACTGCCATCAGATTACCCCAGAGCTGGATATCATCACAGGATCCCCTGAACCTAAGGTTGAAAACTTCACTGCACACGAAGATATCCTCACGCTGTATCCGCTAAGTAAGGACGGGTATTCGAGATGGAAAGATCGAAGTGTTGACGAGATTCGATCAGCGTTGAGAGCAAAGGTTATTGCCAACACCACCACGCTCAATGGCTCAAGTTATACCACCCTGAGGAGTACTGCTAGTGCAATAATGAATAGCAGCCGGCAGTGTATCTCTCCCTGCTCCTAGTCGGGTTTATATTGAGAGCAGAGTGGTTTCATATCTATACTTGGCGAGAACTGCGTTCGCATCATTTGGTTCCATTCATTACAGCCCCTGAAGTTACATTCATTACAGCCCCTGACGCCCTATAAGTGCAAAGAAAAGCTTGCCACTGTTTTCCTTGCTCGGAATTGTTTCCTTTGTTAACAATTTGCTGTCATTGCTTTATATTTGAGTCGTTCGTGATTCCCAAATTCCCGAGAGGTTTATTTCTCAAGATTGGGATCGTGGTATTTGTATCAAACTACCGCAGTTATTGCTGCAGGTAGAATGTCTTTGGTTCTCGGCGGAAATTGTTCATTTTGGATTAAAACAGCGTGGAAAGAAAAAAAACCGGAAAAAGAAGGATGTTGGTCGATATCGAGAATTCCATATCTTACAGCTGAAGATCAAAAAAAGAAGTTCGGTTTGTGTTTTTTGAGTAATACTCTTAGTAATAGTAGTATATTGATTGGCCTACAAAATCATACATTTGCTACATATGATAAGCAGATATGTAGAGCAAGGAGGTTAAATTATGGCATTAGTATGCTGTGCATGGAATAGAAGAACACGAGTCATCTTCTATGTCGGAAATCGCCCTAATTGGTCCTCAGACACAATCAATGATTACTATAGCCCATTTAGTCATAATAGTCCTGGCGGCGCTTTTATCTTCCTTGTGTAATGGGATAAAAGGCAACGTGTTCAACACGCAGTACTCGTTGATTTCCCGTCGCTACCACCACATTCTGTGGGAGTTCAGAGTATTTATAGTCCTCAGCATGGACACCAGCATTATAAGCGACCAAGTCCTTCACATACGGACACGTCAGTTATTTAGCAGAGACCGTGATTGAAATTTCGGTGGCATTCATGATAGCCTGGGCGGTGAAAAGGGCCAAGGTACGTTTGTCGAATGTGTACTGTAGTAAGCTGCCCTTGGGTGAGACATGAACCTCATATCCACTAGGGAAGGTGGATGGGGGCAGGATAATCTCGGTGGGCGCATCAATACTGGTATCGGATGTGAACTGTAGATTGAAAGTTCCAGAGCTTTCAGAAAAGCTGAAGCTGGTGGGATCTCCTGCGACGGCGGCGGGATATGCACGGCCATACTGCTTCGCCAGTTCAGGATAAGGACGACCAGATGTGCCATTGTACAGGTTTTCATACGCCCAGCCAATCCAGGAAACCATACTTGCATCGGTTGCTGCCATGGCATCTGCCAGATCCTGCATCTGTTTCTCGTTGCCCATCCAGAATGTAAGCTCGGTAAGAACACCTGCGGCCCTAAGACGCTCATTATCCTTATGGCGATTACTGAGCGTTTGAGAAATGGAGCCCAGCTGTGGCGGGCTATAATAATGAAATGAATGCACTGACTTCGAGCCGTCACTGAGAGGGACATTCTCGAAACCAGATAAAACGTCCAAGGTGGCCCCTTCAAACCATATCAGCGTGTCATTGTCCACGGTCCGAATCTGCTGAGCCGCTCGGTTCCAAAGCGCCTCTAAGACCTCATGGTCGGCAACGCCTGGCACCAACAATGTCGGATTTGCCCATGTGTCGCCTACCCACGGCTCATTCAACAGGTTATAGCCTACCACGTTCGCTGCCTCGGTATATTCTGACGCCAGCCTTTTCCAGTACGCCGCAAACGCATTTCCCAGCCCGTCGTAGTTGTTATATAACCGCCCAAATGCATTGCCAACCGCCACAGATGTATAACTTAAAGACCAGTCGACAGTATCGCAAAGTGACTGTGGCGTTGGGAAGCCATTTTTATTCACAGGAAATGAGGTCGGCTTAAGGGGGAAGGGATATCTCTTGGTGCTCGATACCCAATTTTCTTTCACAAACCACTATGGAGCAGTGTCATTATCGATAATACCAATGTGCCCTGACTTTCACTTACATCTGGTACGCCATGACCACATAGCTGTCGTGACAGACAGTCCTGGTGTACGTCCACTAGAACATAGATACCCTGGTCCTCAGCGATATTGGTCTGCTTCTTCATAATATCAAGAAATGTCTGGTTGTACGAGCCTCGTACAGGCTCAGCGCCGGCCCAGCTGTGACCCAGTCGCACGATGTTTACACCCAAATCATGCAGGTTTTGGGCATCTTTCTCTCCAAATGACGAGACACCAGGTATCCACTCCAACGGCCGATGCCATGGCGGCTCTTTCATTACAACGTTCGTTCCGTGGAAGAACCGGGTGCGGCCAAATTCATCGATGATCTGATGCGTGTTTTGGTCCACACGATTGATACGTGCCATAGCGGGGTTTCTTTTGTACCAACCCTCCGGATCCTGAGCTAGCACATCAGATAGTAGTATACCCATCACAGTGAGCAGCGATACAGGAACGATACAGGTGAGCATTTTCACGGAAAATAAAGTGCCCAGCCAAGCCTAGTAGCAGAAAGAAAGGAGACTTGGGAAAAGAAACTTGGGCAAGGTAAATTCAGGAGATAGTGACAGCTAAGCGAGGATGGGAGGCTATAAATCCCATGTGTTTGTCTCTGCATAAAACAATGTTACATTTTGACGATCGAAGTGGAGTTAATGTTGATTAGCGTCAATATTAAATGTAGCATCGAGCGCTTTTTGTGCCCCTCTCTTTGCAACCGATCTAGGCAAGAATCACATGTCATACGGTATGATGGGTTTCCTGTGCTGCAGGCGTTAGTCCAATCCTCCATCCTTTTCCATTGCTGCCTTTTTAACTTGTTTGTCCAGGCGGATCTCTCAGAATCTTCAAATTCAGATTTCATAATCGAGTCAAGATTTAACCCTTCGAAGATATTGGATTCTAGAAAATAATACTACGGGAGAGCAGTCGGACTATGATAAGATCCGTTCTTCCGTAAACTACCTCGGAGGCATTTTGTGCCTGTTTTTCAAATCCGTTGAGCGCGGTATGTAGTCTCGTTTTGCGATCCTTTATGGTTGGATCTAAGTGATATTACCATTTATTGCTACAGATGCACTAGGTATAGGGATTGGGGAAAACTGCCAGTTGCTAAGGTAAATGCCAAGACTCCCAGGCAATTTCGAGGCTATTGCCGATTCAGAAGACGTTGTCGCGAGAGAATTGGTTCGACATACATGCCTTTTACTCATTTCGAAATTGAAGGAACAATTCGCGTTCCCTCCGGTTGAGCAAGCTTCACTACATGCCAGGCTTGTCGAATTCGTGTCTTCGAATATGAAGATGCTCGGGGAAAGTTATTTCGAGCTGAAAATCTGGGCTCTTGTCACCATTTCTTCATTGCGATACCCTGATGGAAGAGAGGTCTTCATACAGGAGATGAGAAGAGAGATATGCATAATGGACAAACCGAAACCTTACGAAATTATTGAGATTGCAAGAGATATCGTCTGGATCGACATCTTGATGTCACCATTTTCAGAGGAGCTCGCAGCAGATATAGAACAGCATGTTATTGTTTAGGGAAAGTATTAAAGATTCAAGGCTTTTTAATAAATATAATCTAGATATACTTTTAGTATTTTTAATATATAATGTAGTGGGGGAATCGCTCTGGTGATGTCAGGTGACGTTATATGCCTTAGGCCTTACCTTCATGCAGTAACGTAATTCCCGGCCGGTCTGCGCACCCGGTCGAGCTGCGCACCCTAAAACACATAGTAAATGCAATAAATTACTACTTCATATCTCAACAACCATATCTATTTATGATAAGATGTTAACATAATATGATCAAGATAGTGTTTCTAACCTATTGGCGAGGTATGAGGAAATTGTTGGAATTAATAATAGAGATAAATATATTTTTATTACCCACGTCAAAATTACGCTGTATTTTATGGTAAAGCATCGAAATAGCCTTCTGAATTGCTTAAAACTAAGACATGTTATTTCATATGCTAGGGAAAGCCTATATTCTTATATTTAAGTAAAAATAAACTATGGCTGTTGAGATATGAAGTGGTGATTTATTGCATTTACTATATGTTTTGGGGTGCGCAGCTCGACCGGGTGCGCAGACCGGCCGGGAATTACGTTATATTAGCCCTCAACGATAGTTAACTTACACACACCATCCACCTTTCGGGTCACCAATATTATCTTCGTTATTCGGATGCACGCTGCGGTTATGCTAAGGGCTCGAATGCTCTGAATGCTGTTTTCTCAGCAGGGCACCGCTTTGTCTACTACTCTCCTGCACTCTGTGTGAGTGTGGTGGTTTTGTCCTCTTGCGATCGACCCGTCTGCCAGCGCAGACTGCCAGCGAGCATTCCCATCTTTCAATAAGTATATATTACTAGTAGTTCTACCGCCGTGACGGAAACCCCACTCCCAGTGAATCTGGCCGAGGAGCGGGTCAACCACGAATGAAACATCCAAGTAGCAGGGATAACCTCAGCAATGGAAAAAACCATTGGCGTGATGCAGATGCTAGGTAAAATGATGTTCTCCCAGAGCTCGGAAATTCTCAAGGGTTTAGGATTTATAGAGGACTGCCACCAAATCTTAGCGCCGACGATCCGAGTCTCTTGTCTGCGTTCAGGGTGTTGATATCAATATGGCTATATAAGTATTTCTGCTTAGGTCGTACTAGTAACATCTGACTATGTCACATTATAACCTCTCCTACTATATTGCCACTCCGACTACACTACTTACAATACATACTTCTAAATATGTCCATGATCACTATTACCACTAGTACTAGTGCACCCCCCTACGCACAGCCTGAACTGGCATATCTTAACCACCAGGTCAGCAACTATTTCCAGTCCGTAGAGATGCACAATCAAAGCCTGAACTCTCTGGCTTTGATTGCCGCGCGTTATGAAAGCGATACTGTCGAACTACTGGCGCTAATGTCTGCGACATACCTATACTTTCTATACCAGGCCTTGGATCTTCATGCTATGCCTCTTGAATTTAGGTCTCAAGCGCACAAGGACATAGATAATGCAAATGCGCAGCTTTTTCAGTTGAGCGGCGTGGGCTCCCAGGTATCGTACAGCCAGGAAATCATTTGAAAGAAATTCATGGGCCACTGGGAGATAACCATCACTAGTAATTTGCACAAACGAAGTGAAGTTACCGGCACTGATTCCTTGGGTGTCGTTTTCGATCTTCTGGGTGACCAGGTCGTCGGGAAACAACTCCGACAATGGAAGATTAAAGTTGCCAATAATTTGGATACGAGGTATGGAGCGAACCGAAAACTCTTCTTCCAGATCAAATCGGCCGCGCCGTATCTCTGTACTTCATCACAGAAGCTCTATCGGTTTGTGCGCCAGAGCCTTGGGGTGGCGATGCATCGCGGTCTGGTGGATCGTCCATCCTATGATCCGGCAAAAAGAATTGCCAAAGAATCAATCGAGTCGAATATCCGCAAGATATATGCGGCTTTACGAGCGGAGGATTTTCGTCAAGTTATTCTAAGCTGCTATAGTATTCCTCAACAGGGGCCCGCGTAAGAATTTTAAGGGGCCTATCACTTGTGCGGTATTAGGCATATCATGAAGAAATTGACTCTCGGTAATTTTCATCTCATAAGGTTACAATAGATCTGATTTTAATGGGTCAATCTTGTTTATTTGATCTCTTGAAATTTGCTTTGTCGATTCTCTAACGATACTGTATGCTTGAATTCTTCACATTTCAGCCCTCCCAGATCACCTCCATAATGGAGAGATATGATTGAGATGGCTGGGATATTTTCACAACTTTGAATCGCAAGTCCGTATCTTTGAAAAGAGATTTCCAATCATCTGGCGTGCGCTCTTGAGCATTCTGCAAACCAAGCATGTACATATCGTAGTCCCTGGTTATTTGTATTAGCAAATAGTCCCACGGCCCCAATGAACATAACGCTCATACCGTGCTTCGCGCTCTTTCATGTAGTTTCCCTCTCCATAGCTGGGAATAATGCGATCATTTAGTATTACCTTGGCCCCGGGCTTTAAAGCTGGTATCAAAGCCTGCAGGATCTTCCGTGCGTACTTATTGGACCAGTCATGCAGTACATGACGCAATAAATAAACATCAGCGCCATGAACTGGTTGGGATTGGAAAAAGTCATGGGCTTGGAAGCGGATACGATCCTGGAGGTTAACCGGCAAAGCTTCAAGTTTTTCTGCCTGAGAAATAACCTCGGGGCGATCTTGTATAATGCATTGAACTGTGGGACAAAACTCCGCCAGTGCACGGGCGATATGCCCCATGCCACCGCCGATATCAACGACCGTGATATCTCCAGATCCGAACGGGAAGTGATCTACTAGATACTGCGGGGAGTAGCCAGGTAGCTGAGCATGCCAACTCATGGCTGTAGCAAAGACCTTCGCACGTTCGGGCATGTTGGCGAGGGCTTGGAAGACCGGGAGATCAGTGCCATTTTGTATACTCCATCCCTGCTGCTATTAGATAACTTGCATTAAATAGTCACTGGAATGATTACGCTATGTTGTGGCTCTTCTGAGTCATTGTGTTGCGATACAGCTTCGGCGATCTGGGATATCAGCTTGGTATGCACAGGAGCTTGGTATGATTGTCGCATACTTTAAGGGCACCAGGCATAGTCTCGCCAAGTCCGACCAGCATCCAAGAGCGCATGCCCTCATTCTCCGTCAGAATACGGGAGCCAGCTGTGTGGATAAAAAAATCAGGCTTTTCTTGGAAGAACACATGATAGGTGGCGGCATGAGACATCAACCGGCGAACAATGTTCTCATTACGATTAACGAGCTGTGCTAGATCCTTGATGGTTGTTCCGCCACTCGGAAAACGCTCAAAAATCTTCAGGCGGATCAATGCCAATATACTCAAAGAAGGGTTACGCTAAACAGGTTAGTCAGTTTGAAAAATGCAATTCTTTTTACTTACCAATTCAGGGCTACCCAAGAGTGCTGGATCGGTTAAGAGATCACGTAGCTCATCTAGTAAGCCCAGGAGCCTCATGCGTGCAGAAAGGGCATTCGAATCCGCCGCATCGGTCTGTAGCACGGCGGGTAATCCATGTTCGAAAGAGGGCTCGGGGATTCCCTGCGAAGACAGATTGCCTGCTAGGCTGCGAACAGCCTCGGAAATTTCAGTGGCGCGACCGGTAAGGTTTGAACGGTCCATTGAGAGCAATGGTGAGGTATATGTTGAAATTAATTTTGCGAAAAGCGCTTTCACTCAACGGAAAGCATCACTTCTTAAGGGATAGCACTTGCAGGTAGCACGAAGTACTTCGGCCGTGAACCTAAAACCATATTCCTAGTTGCTCGCTTATAAAGGTATGGCATGTTTCGTTCCGACCAATAGCGCAACCTTCGGGAATAACTGGCCTCTTCTTGGCTTTGGGGGCCGCCCCCGCCAAGGCCAAAACCCCTCTTCTATTGCAAACGCGCTATCGTACGCCACCTGCAATGTGATGAAAGGACACAAGGGCTTTTATCTACGTTTGGCATAGATCATCTCTCACAATAGAGATTATATTGGAATGTTGGGGGCCAAAGGACTTTCGCTGCGTGGTGATATTCTGATGAGAAAAACAGTAATTAATGACTTCCACGACGACTAAGTACAAAATAATAACAGTATTGTATTGAATACAGCACATCATATCAAAATTTCATTTTAAATAGCGTGACTATGGAGAGAAATAAGAGAAGAAAAGCAAACAATGTCTAATACTAGGAGAAACTTGCGGGCCTAGCTGGCTTTCCTCCATTATTGATGTCAAAACTGAGAGAGGACGAGGCATCTATTTTGAGTTGTCGCCTGAGTGAGGTCATTTCAACTTCAAGTTGGTCGTCGGGGCCCTTGCGCTGCTTGTTGGAATTGATTGAGTGATACCGATCGCAATTGAAGCGTGAGTTGTTTGAGGAGGAGCGCGTCTTGTTGAGGTTTGTGCAGGCCTTGAAGAAGGAAGGTATGAAGGGCAAAAGGCCGACCATCAAAACAAAATCGTTCTCGATGCGATTCCAAATACCGAGTTGGGCACATAGGTCTGCCACGTTTAGCTTCAAGTCTCGTAAGTGTCAGCTGGGGAGACCCTTACAGATGAGGTCCAAGGGACCTGGACCGGCAAGCAAAAATGTCATATAATAGAGCTTTACCAAAGAAAAAGCGAAAGCTCTGCTTGTATTAGTTTTGAGCTGTGAGTAAAACAGATGCTTCTACTTACACCATCCCCAAGCTCATAAGTCCAATCGTACTGATTTTCTTCCAGCGGGCCATTTGCAGCTTCCAAACCACAATGGCTGGATATACGGAGAAGGCAATGTTGACGAACGAGGAGATTCCGCATAATACGCAGGCGTAGCTGATCTGGATCGAGCGAGGCCAGCACTTGGCCGTGGGATATTTGTAGGGATTCCATTGTCCGGCCACTGGGTTACACATTACCCAGGTTATTATAAAGCCACCAACTGCCAGTACGTTAATTGTCACGCAAAGGACCCAGATGACAATCCGGATCCAGAGTGCCGGTCGAAATAGGCGAACAAGTAGAATAGCGACGCAGACCTTCGGAAGCTCTATGCTTAAAAATGACCAATTGTTCATCAGGATCGCCCAGAAAGCAGCCCTGGGGACGGTGACCGGTAGGTTAGTGGCGTCGAGATCTCTCGCGGCATTCAGGGCTACCTGAAAAATGGAAGCTTGCACGATGGCAAAAACCCAAGAAAGGAACAACATGAAGTCTTCCCAGTAAGACCTCTGAGTTGTATGCCGCAGCTGCGCGAATATGCGCATGAAGAATAGCACAGTGCTGATGCCTGCGAATGGCCATGTTACCGCAGAGGCAACAATGGCGATGTGATCGATTTGCTCATCAGTAACCATGGTTGGAGTTGCTCGAAGGGGAGATGGCAGTCATGATAGGAATAAGTGGGCTCTTTGTATTCTTGGATAGCCTAAGCGGAGGGTTCGTCCTGAATCTTGTAATTTATTCTGTTAGTCGGCATGTATACTGCTAGATGGGGCCTAATTTGACGTCTTTGGTGACCCAAGGCAGGCGTCATAATGCATGAGGCATGCAAGCGATGTAACCAACTGTGCTTAAGCGTGCGTCTTTTCGGCCCCGTACTTTCTAAGGCTGGGTCCGGCCCCCAAAAGGCGTAACGATGATAGTCGATGCAACCAATTGAACGTCTACAGATACAGGCATGGGGTAAATTCGGGCTTGCGATATTAAACGGACCCCAGCCCAGTGTCAGATCTGGCGCTAAATATCTGTAACAATAGCTGGATAGTAGTAATAATAGGGTCTAACAAGCCGATGCCGCCGTACTCCCCTCCCCCTTTTCCCCATGAAAATAAATGAGTTGACGCATAATCCTTTCGTCAATTTCTCCTCTTATTTCTCGCTCTATATTCCATCTATTAAGATGCCAATAATATCAAATATGGATCCTATTTTAAAATCCGATATCAGATGTCTTCTAAATCAAGCAGCCGCCTTGCCCGCTGGAATTATTGTTTACCCTGAAGGCGACCGAACTCATCCGGTAAAGCTCAGCTATGCCAAACTGCGCAATCAGGTATTACAGAGAGCGTCCTGGCTGCGAAGACGTGCGGAATTTCGCCTCGGGGGTGTCATCCTTGTCCATTTCCAGCGTCATTTGGATAATATCACATGGTTCTGGGCCACTATTCTGGCTGGTAGTGTGCCAGCTCTATCTCCTTCTTTGGTCGGCACGAGCGAGGGCCGTGAAGCCCATTTCAAACATCTGCACAGTATGTTGCAGGATCCTTTGCTGCTCAGTCGTCGGGGTTTACTTACAGAGTCTTTCGGGGAGAACAAAATTCTACGTACTGTGGCAGTGGAGGAATTTGAAGATTCTGGCCTCAAAGGAACGTATTCGAACAGTGTTACCTACAGCCAGATCAATGCAGATGGTGAGGTTCATGTCAAGGACAGTGATGTGGCCGTCCTCATGCTCACCTCTGGGAGCTCTGGCAATTGCAAGGCCGTGTGCCTGACACACCAGCAACTATTTGCCTCGATTCGTGGGAAATTAGCAGTGATGCCAGTTAGCGATGGCAGTTCCGTGCTCAATTGGATCGGTCTAGACCACGTTGCCAGCCTGATGGAAACGCATCTTCTTTCTATGTACGCGGGAGTCGACCAGATCCAGATCCAGGCTCCCGAAGTGCTCAGCAATCCACTGTTATTCCTGCGGTTGCTAACCAAGCACAAAGTCTGCATGACCTTCGCCCCGGACTTTTTCCTGCGCAAGCTTCTAGTAATATTGGATACGACATCCAAAGAGGCTAATCAAGAATACAATCTCGGAAAACTCCTCTATTTGGTTTCGGGTGGAGAGCCTAACAATGTTGATACTGGTTCGCGAGTTACGAGGCATTTACGAAGCCTGGGAGCTTCACCATCAAATCTCATCACTCCAGGTTTTGGCATGACTGAAATTTGTGCGGGGGCCATTTACAATCGCAATTTCCCTGATATTGATATCAAGGCGCAACGCGA